CAGTCTAGGAAATGGCCACTACATGTGCTCCCTCAGGCTGAATTCCAGAAATCATTAGAGAGGATACAATTGTGGCTCTTGAGATGAAGTCTATGGTAGTATTAATTCCATCCGAGGTGTGCCAGGAAAGCTGTCCTTGAGGAGATGTTACACCAGTGGCAATCTGAAGTCATCCAACAAGGGGGTGCAGAGTAAGGTAACACTCCACTGCTGTGCTGTGTGCACTGTTAGAGCTGGGCACTGTGGGAGTCTGCCTGGAACCAGGAAGAGAAATCTCTGCAGTACTTTGTACTGACAAAATGGCATGCCACCTAGCAAAGAAGTATTCATATGGTCCAGCTCCATTTTCACCATGGTAATGGACGGAGCAGGCAACAAGAGGGTAAGTTCATAGCCCTTGTTTCTAAATTTATGACCTTCCTCTATATTCTCAGTATTTCTTTTGCCTTTGGTCAGAACCTCAGTGGGTCAGGGTTTTTAATCCCGCAGAGTGACACAAGTGTTCATTACTGAGGGGTCTGAATCTTCCAGTTGTCCTGTGTAGTTTGGTCACTGTAGTTTTTCATTAACCTTTTTTTATTGGGTACAGAATTCTCAGGCACCCAGAGACTCCTGTGTTCCAGATGCAGTTCTTGCCTCCATTATGTACCAGCAATACAGTCTCCCCGTGGTAATCAGGATTGATTGATCCAGGTGGTGGAGTAACACCTTTTTGCTGCCAATTGGTGTAGTGGCAAAAGAATCCCAAGGTGCCCAAGTGGCAGTCTCACCTAGGTCAGTAGACCTGTTGTGTTCCTGGTTGAAGCATCCCTTGGAAACTAAGACCTTTAAACCAGCACAGTTCGAGGTTGCTGGGATGAGAAGTATAATCGTGAGAGGAGACACTCCCACTTATACCCCCTGATCTTGGACCCATATATTTATCTCAAACCATATGCCACTTCTAAGACAGAATTCCATCCTTTCAGGTTGGTAGCTCTGAACTGTTGTTGTAACAATATTTGGTGAACTGTTCCACTTTTCAGTTAGACCAGCTATTTCTGGGTGTTGGAGTATGTTAATTTCACAAGCATGCATTCACCGAAGCATTTCCTTTTTTGTGAAATTGATTTGTTGGTTAGAAGAAACGGCATAGGAAATGCCATAATGGTGGATAAGGCATTCTGTGAATACAGGGATCAGGTGGTAGTGCTGGCAGAAGCATTACAGACAGTAAGGCAATCCATATTCAGAATGTCTGTTCTAGTGAAGTTAAATCTCTGCCCCATCTATGATGGAAGAGGTCCGGTGTAATCAGACTGCCACCAGGTGGATGGCTGTTACCCCTGGAATTGGTGCCATCTTGCAGCCTCAGTATTGGTCTCGACTTTTGACAGATGAGGCACTTGCCAGTAGTGCATACTAGCCTTAGTAAGGGGAAGTCCGTATTTTTGGGCCCATTCAAAGCCTCTGTCTCTGCCACCAAGGCTGTGTTGTTCATGGATCCTTTGAGCAAGCCCTGGGGTAGCTGGGGAGTGAAGCTGACTAACACCCAGAGTGCATTATTTTGTCCTATGGATTAATAAAAGCTTTCTCTGCTGTGGGTGATTTTTTGATGGGTATTGACATGGGACATGAATATCTTCACAGTGCTTGCCCAGCCAGACTTCTTTGTCACCAAACTTTCAATCCTGTTTTGTCCCAAGTCCCTGACTATCCAGCAAAACCATCCACAGCTGCCCAGGAGGGAGTATATAGCTGTACTTTTGGCCATCTCTCAGGTAAGACATAGTGGACAACCAAATGTACTCTCAAAGTTCTGCTCACAGGGAGGATTTTTTCACCATGGTCTTTCAGGTCTACCAGTGAGTGGTACAGATGTCCACTCTTGGGTGGAACCAACATACGCAGACCTATCTATAACCCAGGCTTGATCCCCCCCCCCTTTCTTGGCCAGCTAGGTTTAGAAACACCTCAGGTGAGAGGTACAGATTTGAGAGAGAAAAGGCAGCGGAAGTTGGTCTTAAAAAAAGTTTGAGCCATGTGTTCAGGGAAGGTATTTGTACCTTGCAGACAAGCTCAAGCAAGCTAAGTCTGTTGTATACCATTTCCATTGGTGGTAGATTCCTGCTGTGCATGCCCAACCAAGTTTATGACTAAGTGGGTCCTGCAACACCCAAATTACGATGGGAAGCTCAGGCTACATGACCACCTTCTATCCCATGATTAGTCATTCAGTCTCTACCAAGGTCCAAAAGAGTAGTTACCATCAGAAGAAGGCATAGATTTGTTCTAAAATCCTAGGAGTCTGCTCTGTGATTCTCCTGGTGCTTGACAGAAGTTCCATACAATGTCCCTATATGCCTGGACATTTAGTGTCATTGGCTCTGCTGGATCATAGGACCAAAATGATAGAGCAGCTTATAGTGTAACTCAGATTCACAACAGGGCCGCCTTTAGAGGTTACCTGCTCAAAATTGGTAATCTTACGGATGACTGTCTAGAAGCATTCTCAAATGCAGTATATGTTGCCTTCAAAATCCAAAAAGGCCTGAGCATCATGCCTCTTTTTCTGTGGTAGCATCTTGTGAGATGAAGTAATATGTCTTTCATCTTGGGTTCATCACTGAAACTTTGTTATGTGTTGGAGGACTTACCTTTCACCCTCTAGTTTTTAATGTTTTACCTAAGTACTTGATACTTGCAGCTCATCATATCCAATCAGCATGCTGTTGTCAGTGTAGTGGAGCAGTGTGATGTTTTGTGGAATATCATGATCACGGTCTCTCTCGACTCAATCCTGGCAGAAAGCAGAATTGACAAAGCCTTGAGGGTGTTCTGTGGTCCTGCCAGGTAAAAGCAAACTGCTTCTTGTGGTCTTTGCAATTTGGCATGGAGCAAAAGGCCTTATAACAGCATAGCAAGTGCCAAGGACATATCCATTTACCCCAGTAAAGACACTATATCTGGGGTAGCAGCTGTGATTGGAATCATTAACTGGTGAAGGGGTGGACCTGATAGTGCCTAGTCATTTTCCAAGATCCATCTGTTTCCTACGTAGGCCAAAGTGGTGTGTTAAGTGGTGTTGTGACAGGTATCACCACCTTCACTTCTTTCAAGTCTTTGATGGTGGCAATTAATCTGCCATTTCTGCAGTGTAATGCTGCTTCTAGTTTACTTTCTTTATAGAAAGGGGAAGTTCCAGGGGCTTTTAATTATCCCTCCCTACAATAATGAGCCTTCAACTATTGGGTCAGAGGACCAATAATTGGAAACGGAAATATGGCTATTCCAGTTACACATTCAGGAAGTAGGGAAATAACCACACTGGACCAACTGGGTCTACTGTATTTTGGACCTGAGCTAAGACGACTCCTATCACCTCACCTTGTAAGCCTTCATTTTGATGAGCCATACTGGTGTTTTGGGTCCCCAGGAATTAGAGTTAATTTAGAGGTAGTTCCTAGTAAACACCAAATAGGCTAGATACTATTTTTTCCCTCTGAAGACTAGTCACTGTAGCAAATAATTATAGATCCTTAGGACAATGTTTGTAGGGAGACTTAAGATACGTGCATACAGCCATGGTGTAAGGTGGGGAATCTAACCTCCCCTGTAGTTAAAGGGCCCTGACCTGTGAATTGATGTAGGTCTGGAATCAGGGTGAGAGGCTGTGACTCTCCATTGTGCTGTCTCAAGTCAGGTTTTGGCTACCAGAGTTTTTCCTATATAGATCAAGCAGTATCCTTGTTAGCTGCCCATTTCATTTGTGGGGACTCATGACCACCAAAAATCTTTGTGTGCCAAGGCGTCCTGACTACTTGTGTGTCCCTGCTGCCCTTTGTAATAGATACCCCACTTTGTCTTTGGTGTTTGGCTTCTGCTACTGTGGAATTGCATCCTCATTGAAATGAGAGCCCATCTCAACAGCAGTGAGAAACAAGATTGTGAATTTAGCATTCTGCCCCTTAAAATTTGTCCTTGAGTTTTAGCAATATTATCTCCCTGACTACAAGAAATAAGAGATTTTTTAAAGGCTATTGTGGAAGCTCTCTGGTACTCAGACCATAATTTGAGCTAAGAATAAAGGACCCGAGCTTGTCATTTTCTTTCCTAAGTGCTGAAGTGCATTCAGAAAACTGCATCCGACACCATAGTGTCTGTGGTCATCACTGACAAAGCTTAACATCTTGCCATTTGGCAAAGAAGAAAATATTTACAGGGTCCAGGTTCATTATTTCACAGCAGAAAATGAAGGATGAATTTGGAGGTGAGAGGTCATAAATTGTTAAGTGGTATCATACCTGGTCATGCCGAATTTTTAGTTATGGTACCAGAGTCGCCAATCATCTTGGTTTTTGCTTTTATGTTCTATTTCAGAAATGAGTTTGTATGTCTTTGCAAGTGTGTATGCATTTTGAACTTAATCCATTCAGCATTCATTGTGTATAGTGTAAGGTAATGATTTAATCTACTTTAAATAGACTCAGCCTTTTTAATTTAAAAAGCTACATATATCATATGTAAATTTATGTATTATATATGTTTCTCTGATCTATTCTGTTCCATTCATCTATTTATTCCTTTACCCAAGATAAACTTTTTTGTCTGAACAAAAAGACTCGTATTCGGACTTTACAAGTCTGAAGAGGGTTTTGCCATTTGTAGGAAGAATAAAATTAGACTGTTAAGAGAGAATGATGTTCTTAAGTGCTTTGAAATTTACCTGGATCAGTGTGTGTTCTGGTTTTCCACTTGCTGGTAAATACTGTCAGGCAGCAATGCCTTCTCTCCTGGCTGTCCCACCTAATCAGTAACCCAAGGTAACCATTTGTATTAAGAGGCTGCTGGTTGACCAGAGGCAAGGCTCAGGTTGTAGAAATGCAAATCAACTCTCAGTGTTTAAAATTCAGGGCCAAACCCTATTTTACCTGGGACATTCAGATGTAATCATCTCAGTCTTTCCATACTATCTTCACAGTACTGATAGTAAAAAATTAGATAAAAGGCTTAAGGGAGTTTAGAATCATTTTTATTCATTCAAATGCTCATAGAAATAAAACTTGGAAAAAGGATATATGTTACCAATCAGTCCTGAATGGGATTCTGGATGGATCTGTTTTGACTTGAAAAGCTGAAAGTTGGACATTTTTTGCCACATTGGGTAGGAAGACACGGTCATTTCTTTTTTTGTGTTTAACAGGTGCAGGTACCTGCAATATAAATATTAAGTAGATATTGGAGTCTTTACAAAAGATGGTGAATAATTCTTAATTATAGCATCACTACAAGTCACTGTTACAAGACCAAGATCATTGTCTAGGTTGGGCCTTTTAGTGTGCCTTCCTGTACATATTTTGCCTCTTACTATAGAGGGAACTGGTCAGGATTGAATCCATCAATGGAAAGCCATTTCCAGCTAAGAAAGGACAGATAGCTTGTATTTGGAGTAATCTAAAAATTCTTTAACATTTTATCATTTGTGTTAGTGCAGTGCTACTTTTTAAAAGAAGATCATTGGTGGTCTTATATTCCAGCCATGTATAAATTCTTCTTAATCTGTATTTATCTGACTTACCTCATAGGCCTTGCTTAAGAAGTGAGACCTTAGATTTGAAGAGGACCCAACTAATTTTGTGCTTTTCCTGGACCTCAGGCTTTTTGCTTGGGGTCTCTATACTGTACACAAGCCAGTGGGCCCTCAAGACACTTCCTTATTTATTAGGGCTTATTTATTTAGTAAGGCAATATAGCCAACAGTTAGCCTTAGACCATTACCCTTCTAAATCTTTGAAACCTAGTGAATCTCCACTAATGTACTTAAAGCAGCCTTCTCAGCTATGAGTTTTGATCACCAATCTGCTGCACAGTAGGAACATTTGGTTTGGGGAGTTAAATGGGGGTGGAGTGAATCTTAAAAGCCCTTGTGGTTCCATACAGATCAACTGAACATTGCTAAGAGCTTTTGTAGAAACGACACATACTAGAATTTCACCTTCTGATGAAAGATGACTGACAGATTGATGGGTCAAGCAAATGGTGGGCATTAATAATGCAGTCCTATGTGGTCAAGGATCTCAGTTGGGTAAGTTCCTGACTTGCTTCTTCCCTTTCTGTGTGTGGTCCCTTAACTGTATATTTAGAAATCCTACAACAAACTTTTGGTCCAATAACTAAACCATCAGCTTCAGAATTACACCTTCAAAAGAGGCTTAAGGATGGCATATTTTCTCTGACAATGAATAATTTTCCCCCCTAATTTTTCTCATGGTAAGAGGGAAGAAATTCTTAAATGTATGATTAGATATATAAATCTGGAGAAGATTCTAGAAAACAATGAAGCAAAGAGTATAATACTCATTAAAATAGTACAGAGAAGGCAATGAAAGAGGGTGTAAATGGTGTTTTACGTAAACTCAAAGCTGAAATATTAAAAGAAAATTCTTCAGATACGTGCTATGCTTCAACCTAACCTGCATTCCAGGAATTTTCTTTGGAGGGTAGATTTCTCACTTGTTTTAAAATGACTTTTGAAACTATTTCTGCTCTGCCAAGGAACTCAAGTAAAGGCTCTGATGCTGCTGGTTAATTACTGTTGATGATTGAAAAACAAGAAGAAATTCAGGAACAGAGCACAGCAAGGTGCTGGCACTGATGTCCACACTCACTCACTGATGTACTGAGTACGTGCTTTTGGGCTTAATTGTTTCAGCATCAGAATGTTGTTACTGAGGAGTGGCGTCAGCAAGATGGCACAGTAGGAAGCCCTGGGCCCTCCTTCCCCCATAAACACAGTGATTCAGCAAGAGTTCATGGACAAGTTCCCTTTATGTGAAACCCAGAATTCTGTCATCCAGACCCAAGTACTGAGATAAGATCCTGATACATAATTTTTTAATGTAAATTTGAAGTAACCCTAAATCTATAATTTCATATTTATAATGTTCATTGTTCCAACTACATAATCAAATTTACCATTACTTACAGTCTTTGGCCTTTGAGTCCTTATTTTATTGCCCATAAGATCAGTCTTTAAAAGGTGTTGCTGGGAGTATCTGGATGATGTGGAAGCAGAATGCAGGGAGTAGTGAGTCTGGGATATAAGGCCTATAATGTGAAAAAGGTTAAGTTATATCTCTGGTTGTAACGTACAGGCCTAGATTCAATACATAAAATTTATAGATTAAAATGGGCATCTGATTCAGCTTCATCAATTTTGAGTGACGATGTCAAAACCTGGATGAAGTCTTTAGCCTGAGGGTCACATGAAAGAGAAAGTGAAAGAGATGATGGGTTACTTGGACTTGTGGGTGAAAGTGGACCGAGAAATATTTAAGGATATATTAATAGGACTTGGCAATTAACTGGATTTGCAGGGTGAAGAAGAATAGCTCCCAAATTTCTGGCTCAAGCAGCTGGACAGATGTTAGTTTTATTTTATGGTGGATTTTGTGATCATGGCACATACCTCTCAAGTCATTGTTGGTTATAAGGTCAGAAGGATAGGTGGGAGATACATGTATGTAGAGAGGAAGCGGATAAAGATTAGCTCAAGGCCTCTGAAAAGACAGGGGCCCATGGATCCTGTTCACAGGGGTTGTCCCACAGAAGAAAAGGGGCATCTTTTCCACTTTAACAGGAGGGAGGGAGTAGCAGCTGAGTATAGATGTAGGTAGGCTGGGGACAAGTAGAGGGAGTTCCCATTTGATGGAAGAGGAGGCCTGAAGGACTGAAGAGACCAGGAAAATTTAAAATAGTTGCTGCATTATAATAACTTTAAATGGAGTATGAGCTATAAAAATATTGAATCAATATATTGCACACCTGAAACTACCATGATATTGTAAATCAACTATACTTAAGTTAAAATAAAATAGGTGCTGTGAAGAGTGAGTGAGGCTGACCCCACCCTCAGCTGTAGGGGATAACGTGAGCTAGGTGTAAGCCCACCAGCCATTTCACTACCCAGCTTCAGTGATTTGTCCAAAATTGGTCACATGACCCACATTAGCCTGGTCAAAACCTGATTCTTTTTAATTGTCCCCTCTCCTCACTGCACTCCTGTGATGTGAGCTTTGAACACAGGTTGGAAGCCACGGAGGTGGCAGCCCTCTTGCTTCCTGGGGCTCCACTTCCCCTGTGCTCTTAGCACGCTTAGGGCCCAGAGCTGCAGGAAAATCAGTCCTCAAGGAATAGTTCACGGGCAGTAGTTCACGGGCAGTCTACCCAGGCAATAGAAATAAAAGCAGAAATAAACAGTGGGACCTAATTAAACTTCTAAGCTTTTGCACAGCAAAGGAAACCGTAAGTAAAACAAAATGACAACCTCTGGAATGGGAGAAAATATTTGCAAATGATGCCACTGACAAAAATCTCATTTCCAGAATATATAAACAGTGCATACAACTTAATACCCAAAAAACAACCCAGTCCAAAAATGGACAGAAAACCCAAACAAGCAATTCTCCAGTGAAGACATACAAATGGCCAATAGGCACATGAAAAAGTGCTCAATAATTACCAGAGAAATGCAAATCAAAACTACAATGAGCTATCACCTCACACCAGTCAGAATGGCCAATGGCCATCCTTAAAAAGTCCACAAATGACAAATGCTAGGGAGGATGTGGAGAAAAGGGAACCCTCCTACACTGCTGGTGGGAATGTCGTTTGGTGCAGCCGTTATGGAAAACAGTATGGAGATTCCTGAAAAAACTAAAAATAGACTTACCATATGATCTAGCAGTCCCACTCCTGGGTATATATCGGGAGGGAACTCTAATTTGAAAAGATACATGCACTCCAATGTTCACATCACTATTTACAGTAGCCAAGACATGGAAGCAACCTAAATGTCTATGGACAGTGACTGGATAAAGAAGCTGTGGTTTATACAATAGAATACTACTCCACCATTCAAAAAGAATAAAATAATGTCATTTGCACCAACATAGATGGACCTAGAGATCGTCATTCTAACTGAAGTAAACCAGAGAGAGAGAGACAAATACCATATGAAATCACTCATATGTGATATCTTTTAAAAAAAGAGGCCACTAAGAGGGCATTAATGAACTCATCTACAAAACAGACAGACTTGCAAACATAGTAAACAATCTTATGGTCACTGGGGGAAAGAGGGTGGGAAGGGATAAATTTGGGAGTTTGAGATTTGCAGATGTTAGCCACTATATATAAAAACATTAAAAAATTTCTGTATAGCACAAGGAACTATATTCAATATTTTATAATAACCTTTTATGAAAATAAATATATATATGTATCTGCATGACTGGGACATTGTGCTGTACACCAGAAAATGACACATTGTAACTGATTGTACTTCACTTTAAATAAATAAATAAAAATAAAAAATAAAATTGCTTCCAGGTCCAGGGGAAAAAGAAAAAAATAATTCAAACCTCGATCGAGCCAACTTAAGCAAGTCTACCTCTGAATATTTCACAGTTTTGTGAGCCAGTAATTTCTCCACAGCTTGGACCTGAGCATGTAGGGATTTCACTTTTTTTAAAGCATTTTTTTTGGTTGATATGTCTTTATTAATTGAAGTATATACTCAGTTACAGTGTATCAATTTCTGATGTACTGCATAATGTTTCAGTCATATATATACATACAAATATTCGTTTTCGTATTATTTTTCATTATAGGTTTCTTAAGCATTTTGAGAGTAACTGCACTAGAACAAATTGCAATTTCTCAGGCCCCACTGTCAGGGCCCAGGCAGTGGGCACAGAGGCAGGACAGAGCACCTTTGGCTTCTGAGAGCCCAGTTTTGCTCTTAGAAAATCCGAAGTATCTTGATCTTTGCTTGATATTTGAAAATGATCTTTCTGCTTCTGATAAACTGTTTTCTCACATCATTCACACTAGGAAGTGACAAAAGGAAACACAGACAAGGACACACATGTATCGAAGTGTAATAACCAACATTTGCAAAATGATCTAGTGCTACTATACTATGTGGCAGACAGTCATTAGAATACACTTTTGAGGTGGGTATTTCACAGAGAGGCGAATTAACCTGTCCAAGGTCACAGCTAGCAGTGACAGGGGCAGGATTTGAACCTTAGCTGTCTTACTCCAAAGTCCACAGCCTCAACCATCAGGCTACACTGTAGAACAGAAAGAAGAGGTTTGGCTGATCTTAATAATAGGCTGATCATGGTTACTAATACTGGGTGATATTTTTGATCTGGACGAGAACTTCCTCATCTTAAAGGGGAGGAAGCTAGTTTCAAGACGTCTCAGAGTCTGGCCTCTGCTCCATAGCTGCTTGCTGGCTGCACTGTCCAGAGTGCTGTTTTGATTGCTATTTCCATAGGACTCCTCAAGCCCCCAGGACCCAAGAATCTATACAAATAACATCTGAGAAATGTGGTCATTAATGTCCTGTCCAGGAGGAAGAAATTTTCCTTTACCCTTCTAGGTTCTTCTGGCTAGTCTAAGAATTAAACTGACATGAAATTGATTAACAGGAGAAGATCAAACAAACGTTTAATAACATGTATACCTGGGAGAGACCCAGGAGAACTGAATAACTTGCCAAAATTGCTGAAGCCCTCACCTTAAATACCATCCTCAGCTAAAGCCAGAAGAGGCTGATGAGGGTCGGGGAAAGTCAGCCATGGGAGGTTACCCAGAAAAGCACAATAAACAACTATCAGTTTGTTATACATACTTGTCTTTTCCATTGATAAGTTTCTAGAGATTTGGTCATTCTCTTCCTGGCACAGAAGAGGGAGACACCCCTACAAATGGAGGTTTCCCTTACAAATATAATAAATGTTTCTTACAAAAAGGCAACTCTTGGTTGATTTTCAGAGCCCTCCCCATGTCTGCTGTTTCTCAAAAAATAATCAACTTAAAACAATATGCCAAAGACATATCTTAGGGTGACAAATTCTGCTCCCCTATAGTCCCAAGGTGTTAAGGTGTATTAACATCCAGTGAAGTACCCAATGTTCTTTAGGTGATATATTACACCTAGAGCCAGTTTTTATGATTGAAATCTTTTAGTGCCACATGTCAGTACACCAAGGTGAACTAAAGTAGAGTTCTGACTGCAAATCAGAGTGAAGGTTCATTCATTCACTCAATAAACATGGACCACCCACTCAATAACCACTGAATTGTCATTGTTGGTCCCTGAGACCCTCCTTCAATTCAGACCAGACCCTGGACGCTTACTCTACACAGAGTAGGGGTATCCTTACCGCCTGGTGAGTTCACCTGGTCCAACAATCGCTCAGCATCATTAAGCTGACTCTGCAGCTCTTTTACCCGCTGGAAAGCGTCCACCTTCACACTGCGTTCCTGGACAAGCCAGCTTCTCATCTGAAGGGAAAAGCACGTGGGAAGCAGAGATGCTTCTTGGTGCACACTTTAGTTCCCTGGGAGGGGCAGGGGTGGGGAAGGGCGGTTTCTAGGGAGAGTGTGGGTCCCAAGTTACCCCAGAATATAAGTCATGAAGTCCTGGTCAGGCTGAACTCAGCCTTCTGAGAATGAAGAGCTCTAGGAAGGCCAAGAACTTGAAAGAGGAACAGAGGCCTTGAAACCCTATATTACCTTATAATAGCCAGGAGTTTACTCACAAAAGTTATATTTTTTATGTTTATTTCACCAGAGGGAAGCAGGGGTGGGGAGCCAGTTCACAAAGGACCTTGTGGGCCAAGCCAGGCATCTACCACCCCAAAGACCTGTGGGAAACCCTGGATGGCTTCAAGCCAAGACTTGATCTCCCAGATCTCAACCCTGAGTTCAGCTCATCTGTAGGGAATGCCCTGGCCACCATCTCCAGGCCTGACACAAGGCCCACACCTGGAGGCAAACTGTGTTTAATCTCTCCTGGCACCCCTGACCCCAAGTCCCCTTGGCCAGGAAGTCACTGGGTCCAAAATGCACCTCACCTGCAGAGGTCACAGGCATTTTTCTTTTTAAATTTATGTCTATCATCTCCTAATTGTTTTTAATGATAAAAAAGTAATAGTGTAATGGGCTGAATAGTGTACCCCACAAAGTCATGTTCACCTGGAACCTCAAAATGTGACGTTTGGAAATAGTCTTTGCAGATGTAATTAAGATGAAGTCATACTGCATTAAGGGTGGGCCCTAAATCCAATGTTGATGTCCTTACAAAAAGTGGAGAGGGTACCCACACACAGAGACACAGGGAAGAGGCCATGTGACGAGGGAGGCAGGGAGTGGGGAGCTGTGGCTACAGGCTGAGGAATGTCAGCCACTGCCTGCAGCCCCCAGAAGCTACAAGAGGCGTGGAAAAGGCTCTTCCAGAGCTTCCTAAAGGAACCAACGCCTTGATTTCAGACTCTGGCCTCCTGAACTGTGAGAGGATAAAACTTTTATCCTTTTTTCTGGTCATTTATTTTTATAGAATTCTCCTTACTAATCTCCCCCTTGAGTACTTGAAACACTGGGCCAATAATTTAACTTCCCCATTTCTGTTTCCTAGTATCTCTGGTGAATTAAGTGATTTATTCATTCAATGAATACCTGTGAAGCACCAACCCTGGAAAGTGCTAGGTTTTTTCTCCCCTTTTGTGTTGAAATACATTCTGTGGTCCCCTTTGTTGAAATTTGCATGAGTTCACATTTACATTATATTATTTTCTCCTCTTTTTTTTCTTAATAAAAACATATTGTGTCTGGAAACCACTTCTGCCTTTCCTTTTTTATCTCTGCAGTTCCAGAAACACCATGAATAAAATCCCTTATAATAGCCTACATAACACTTGCTCCCTTTCCAGATTACTTGTCAGAATTTTCTAAAGGATTCCTTCTAGTTCAAACATTAGAGCTGGGTAGAAATACATTTTTCTAGTGGTTAGAAACGTGCTAAGATCTGGGCCTGGAGGCAGTCAAGCCATCATCTTTCACCATAGGCAGCCTGAGCAATTGCCCAGGTGTAGATATTTCCACGCCCAAGGTGGGCCTGGCGGTGACAGAGGGGAGGAGCACCGCTGTGGAGGCATGAGAGGCCTGGAAGAGACGTGAAGAATGAAACGGCTCTGGCTGGAGCACCCCGATGTGCCAGCCCTCACTGGACTTACCTGTCGCAGTTCTCTCTGAATTTTCTTCTGCTGGAGCTGGTCCAGTTTGGAGGCCCTCTCGGCCTCTTCAGTAAGGAGCTGCAGGTGCTGCTTTTTCTGCTCCACATCCTCCAGCAGCTTCTCCATGCTGGAGGATTTCATTAAATCCAGCTGCTGCCGGTGGCGAGCTTCCTGGGTCGCTCTGTGTTCTAACTCTTTCAGCAGCTGAGCCTGTGGCAGGAAAAGGCCAAAGGAGACAGAAAGAGGCAGTCTTTTCTTCTCAGCAGAAGGCAGGGAATGAGAGATTGACCAACACAACCATCCCCTCTCTTAGCGCCCAGGGGCAGAACTGGGTGGAGTTGGGTACCACGGCCCAGCTGTCCCGTGTAAGCCCCAAGGCAACAGTCAGGGGTTGGGGGGAACAAAACAAGGAAACAACAGAAGCCAGGCAAGTGGTAAGGCCACTCTCCAGCAATACCAGGTTAAATCATTTGGTCTCTTATTACCACAATTGGATGCTAATGTGTATGTTAGATAACTTATTAACCAAATAGTCTTATCTATCAAAACTGTATTTGCACTATCACTGAGCCTTAATCGTACAATAGCAGTGGAAGGGGAAGGGAGGTGTTAATCTTGCCTCTGTTTTGATTTTCAAAGTAGCTTTCAGGGAAGCCAAATTCCAGATGGTTAGAAAAGGAAAAAAGTAGTAATAAAATTGTTCTGTTCTGAAATTTTCCAGTAGTCACTAGATGGTCGACCCTTAATTATAATAGTAATAATGATGATTAATATTTGTATGGTAACTTTACATAATTATACATCATAATTCACCTGGCACACAATAATGGAGGAATTAGGATCCAAAAGGAACAGATTATATTTTATGTTTTAAAACAGATTATATTTTATGTTTATAAAAACAGGCTGTTATTTCTGTAAATCTTGATCTCTCTGCTTCATTCATGCTCAGAGAGTTGGCACAGTTATTAAGAGCTCAGACTTAAAAAACCTTTATTTTGGTTCCCACCCCTACAGAGCAGCAGTAACTTCTGAAATTAAGACTTAGCGTGGGTCATCAGGAAAGGAACCAAGACTCTCTGCTTGGGGCATAGCGCTGATGGCCACACTTGTGGAAAGCGTGCTTGGAGCATGAAAGCCATGTGTCAGAGGCCCAGACCCAAACCCCACGATGCCCTCTGGGTAAAAAGATCCTCAGAGAAACACACACACACAAAACAATCTTGGGTATGAGTAATATATTTCACCATCTTAGCCAAATATGAATAAGAACAAAGCCTTTTAGCCACTGCCCCTGGTTTCTGGGCTAGAAAGGAGGGATCAGGGGAGCCGAGGTCCAGGCCATCTTTCTCTGGCCATGTGGCATTCTGGGGACAGCTACAGGCAGCAAGGTGCCGCTTCTGGTCGCCAGACTATGTTCAAAGAGAGGGAGGAAGAGGGGTTCAGAGGCTCAGGTACCTGGTTCTCCTGCTGCCTGCACACCCTCGCGTTGTCGGCCTGAGCCCTGGCCAAGGCCTGCCGCAGAGCCAACAGCTGTTGACGAAACAGAGTCGCTTCATGTTCTGCCATTAGCTTGACGCTCAAACACTCTTTTTTACTTTGCATAGCTTCCTGTGAACATCCCAAACACAGTAAGGCAAGAGATAAGTTTCGTCTCCTTATTTTCAGTTTCACAACCAGCCTCCAAACCACAGCATCATCCACCGTTTTTTTTAAAGTTTCTGGTAGAACAGAACTCCTGCTGGTCACTTGCCTCCATGATGTCAATGAAGAAGAGTGTGACAGATCAGAGTAAATAAAGACTTTCAGAAACAGTAAGGAAAAGTTTCCAAACCGCTATTGATATGTGCTTTAGTTTCAATTTGCCTTAAAGCCAATGTTCCACTTACTGTTATTTCATTTTCTGCAGATAATCTTGTTGGAAACTCAGATTGGCAGTGTTTTGACACGGCTGCCAGCACTTGGTAAAGTCTCTCCTTCCATCTTTTCCCTTCCCTTGTGCTAAACTCTCTCCTCTCTTCTCCCATTTGCTTGTCATTTGCTTCTGGCTCTTTCCCGTTTCTCCTGGGGCTCTGACCTTGCCCTCTCCCAGGAACACTTCCCAGCAGTCGGATCCTTTAGGAGGGTCGGACTTGCTACCTGACACCAGTGCAGCCGCTGCAGCCCGGGGGACCAGGCTGCCCCAGCCCCGGGCCGGGCCTCCCTTCCTCCCCAAGTCTCACCTCCTCAGCCCTCCTCAGGTGGCCCCGGAAGCGCGCCTGCTGCACTGCCAGCCTCCAGTGGCCCAGGCTCCTCACTTTGCGCACCAGGGCGGCCAGGCTGCTGTTGTCCTGCTCCGGGACTCGCAGCTGCTCCTGCTTAGAAGGCTCACTTTCAGAAAAGGCTGCCCCGAGCACTTTTCTTGGGAAGGGCATGAATCCTAACATCAGAAACATGCCTTCCAGAAGATGAGACAATTGTGCAGTAAGCCCCAGTGCCTTTAAATGACTGAAGCAAAGCTCTCTCAGGGGAACAGGACCAGAATGCAAAGAGAGTGGGGTCAGATGCTAGGGTTAAATGCTGACTGCCCCCCACCCCTTAGCTAAATGAGACCACATACTTCAGCTGCGTTTTCTTTCATTTCTTCCTCAGGTCTGGCAGAGCCCCATTTTTTCTTTAGGTCCTTCATATTGTCAATCCCTTCTGCCCTTACTTCACCGATGAGCTCGCACACTTTCTGGATCAAATTAAGCTGATTCTCATCCAGTTTCTCCTGCAAATTGCAGATTCAAGTTCAGGAAGCGCAGTTGAAGCAGAGTCCTTTTGCCATCTAAGATCCAGCTTTCAGAAATGATTTCACATTAAAACACCATCCACCCAAACAATGATTCCATCGGGTACTGCCTGGAAGTCCCTCTAGTGGCCTCTTTACTGTTCTCTTCAACCCTCAGGGCTGCATCACATGGACACCTGCACATCTTAGAGCCTGCTGCCAATGTCAGGTGCCGAGGCAAGTTGAGCCATCGAAGAGGGAAGTCACAGGTGAAAAACTGAATCGCACCCCCAACCCCTTCACCCCAAACACACGCAAAGGGTTACTTGGGAATTTGAACCTAGGGCCTTTTGCTCTCAGGTTGACTCAGCAGTATCTGACCAGATAAGACACTGTCCATGAGCCGCTAACAGGGAACTCCATTAAAAATAGGTAAGGTAGAGGGAGGAATCAGGCGGCTGTCTTCCTCCTTAACACCAGCAGGTATCTCATTGTGAAACAGCCCTTCTGGATGGTTATGGCTGGTGGCTAAATGGTGAAACAGCTTGATCACTGCGAAGTACAACTAGAGACCCAGCATCCTTGGGTGAGGGGTGAGTGTGGGGTGTCCTTTCATCTCTGAACCACCTCCCTGGAGAGGAAACAGAAGGTTAGCGCCAGCTAGGGAACCACAGCAGGAAGTCTGGCTACTGGCCACACAGCAAAAGCTTCAGCACCTTCTTGGGGCCCTGGGGTAGAACAGGGATTCCCTATTTTCAGGGGCTTGTGGAACTAATTGAGCCTGGGAGAAGTAGAGAGTGTACCTTTTGTCTAGGAATCTGGCAGAAGCCAAAAAGAAATTTTTCAACAATTTCACACCCAAAAGATGGCTTAGTAAATTCCAGACTTCACTGTCTGCTCACCCTTCTCCCACAGCACCAGGCCCCAATGCATGTTGGTTTGGCTCCTTTCATGTTTGTAAGCATTTGTATTTTGTGGACATTTTCCAGTAAAAAGGAATGTCCAATCCTCTCTGGAATGACCAGGCCAAGGCAGAGCATCAGTAGAAACTCCTTTCAATGGAATGACTCCAAGGATCACCCTAGAATTCCCCAGGAGAGACAGTGAAGGCCCTCAAAATCTCTAAGGAACATCCAATAGCAGGGAAGGGGGTAGTTTTGGGGGAAGCTGTGGACTTGGAGGTGGTAGGTTTGTAATGAAATTCACACTTGTGGGGCAGCTGGACCAGGCTCCATGATGGCCCATTTTAGGCATGAGGTCTCCATCTTACAACTGCTCAGACACCATAAGAAAGTGAAGGGCTTCCACAGTGCTGTGGGCACATGGCACCCACCACTCCTATCCTGGATGGGCCTTCACTGACATGTCAGCAGGGTGTGAGAGAAAGGATGGTGGGCGTTTTGAGGGTTGGAAAATCTCCAAAAGCTGATTCAAATTCTGGATCTGCCCACTGAGCTGTCGGCAGGTGCCTGTTGCTACCTACACTGGGGTTTGGCCTGCCCAGAGCACTGTGTTGTCCATTTTAGATGGTCACTAAATAGGCAGAACAGTGACATAAACTGCTAGTTTTGCAGAATAAGGATCCCCCTTCCCTGACCAACAATCAGATGGCAACAATGGCAGGAGAGTGAGGAAAACAGCAAATATCTAAATTATTTAAAATTCAGTGTCTATCGTGGTAAAATAACGACCACCCATCGCTGACTCACTGTCTTCAGTGAAAGCCTGGAGCTGGAGAATTCTCTTGGTGCCACTGAGCCCATTCTGTCACGATCCCTCTGTGTGCAGCCACCGCAGGGGTCAGGTGTGCCCAGGGCCCCCCAGGACTGACCAGACGTCCAACACCAGTCACTTACTTTGATGTGCAAACACGTCACAAACAAAGCTTGGACCAGGGCTTCATATTCTTCTTGGACTTCTTTTCTAATCTGCTTTTTGAGATTCAGATTCTCCTCCTCCAAATCTGTGAGCTGGGCTCTCAGGGCAGTGATTTCCATGATCATGTTGTGACTGAGCTCTGCAACCTAGCGGCAGAAGTGTTTTCTAAAATGGAAAATCATTCAGGAATTCCAAACTGCCCAGAACAGTTCCTCATATATGAATGTTGAATTTGCACTTCGCTTTGAACCTAATGAAGAGGTGGATCTCCTATTGTGCAGGTGTGGGTGGAAGAAGCTGAGGCTGGTTTAAGGGTCTAAGGCATGTAATAGGTGCTCAGTAAATGGCTGCTGAATGAATGAGCCCAGAGGAGATGCCCCTTAAGGACTTTTCATTTGGAGAGAATACTTCAGCTGTCTTGGCCTCCATTTCCAAACCGGCCTTTCCTCGACACCTTAGCCTAAATATTTCTTCGTCAGAAGGCACATTGGCCTTAAAGGAAAACAGCAACAACAACAACAAAAACCCCAAGCTTCTAAATATAATAACAGAAAGAAAAAACAAATCAATAAAAAATAACAAAAGCCACCAAAAACTTAAAAAAAAAGTGCTCATTGCCTAAAAGTGCAGCACACTCCTTGGATGTCTCTGCAGTGGACCCGTCACTGAAGGGACTTTTACAGAAAGGGACACGAGGAAGTTCCATGTCTGGATCCTGCTGAGATCGTGGACTTGAGAATGGAGAAGAGAACCTCTTTAGTGATAACTGACCTACCTGACCAGCACTGCTTTCAGGTGGACTCTGACCTCTTCGTATGATGCCTAATTCCTAAGAGAAGAAAGCAGTGCATCACCAAACTCCAACATTTATTCAGTACAACACGCTCCAAACACCTCTTATTTGTGCTACTGGTGCCTCATTCTGAGCTCCTCGGGCTCTGCCTGGAGCTAGGACCATGCTTGCTGCCCCTCCGGACTTCAGGAAGCATCACAAGACAGCATCAGCGCCCATGTATCCCCACTGGTGCAGAGGCCTCAGCCGTGGGGCCAGCCAGACTGAGCACAAAGCTAAGATCATGTGATATTTTAATGCTTCATTTGATTTTTTAAATACTTTTGCACTTTTCTTACATACAAAGACTACTCTGGACCTCTGATGCAATCCATTTCAAAGCAGTGTGTAATCTAGGGCAGGAGAAGTGACTCATGGATCCAACCTGTGGGATCTCATTTTAAGAAGTCTCATGGATGAGACCCATGCTGTGCCTCCAGAAGACAGAGTTTACTCAAGGACTCTGGCTTCGTTGCTGGACCAGGAACAGCACAAGGTCCCTTGTGTTTGCTGAGGGTGGGAAGGTCAGCTATGCACCTTCCCTGGGGGGTCAGCTCCTTTGTCCCTCACCTCTTATATTCCCCTCTGGACACTACCAAAGCACACAACCTAGTGTTCGTGGGGCCATCTCCTTCACCACTGAGAATACCAGAGCCCAAGAAAATGAGCCAAAGAGAAGAGAAATTTGGAGAGTACCATTTATCCTCATTTCTCACATAAGAACACCTTCCTGGACCCTGTTTTACTTTCTCTTCAGAGTGACTCCTGTGCTTCCCTTCCCAGACCTTCCCTAACGCAGTTCTTGTCTGTCTGGAAACATACTTGCTCCTTCTGGCGGAGTTTCTGCCTAGCATTCTCCAACAAGTGCTCGTAACACATGGAGTAGCTCTCGAAGTTGCTGCGTTCTCTGGCCATCACATCACAGCCCAGGGAAAGGAGGCAGGCCTTGAGGTGGTCTTTACTGAAAGTGATCTGAAAAGGAAGGGGCATCATTCACAGCAGCTCCAGCAGGGCAGCCCCACCATGGCAGGGCTCATGGCTCACATTGTCTTGGCTCACAGACCCACCTCCATTTCTCCTCCACAGAGAAACAGCAGCTCCAGCCTTGTACACCTCTCTTTCAGGTCTGCTCTTAACATTTGCAGGGCCAGGGACGAGAGTACAAATGGAGGCCCACGTGCCATATGTCTAAGTGTCCTAAATATTGTAAGGTTACAAATCAAACTAACTATTAAAATGAAAATGTTTGGGGGGAGGTTATAGCTCAGTGGTAGAGTGCATGCTTAGCATGCACAAAGTCCTAGGTTCAATCCCCAGTACCTCCTCTAAAAATAAACTGATTACCTTCCCACCTAAAAAGAAGAAGAAGAAGAGGAAGGGGAAGGGGAAAGAGGAGAAGGAGGAAAAGAAGAAGAAGGAGGAGGAGAAGGAGGAGAAGAAGAAAAAGAAAAAGAAAAAGTTTAACTGTCCTACTTTGAAGACTACTCTGGGTTCTATGCTGAAGTATAATGACTTGGGGAGAGCTGGTCCCCAACCCATAGTTTACAGTTTGACCCCATTCGCTTCCTACCTCTGGTGTCACATCACATCACACTGTTGGTGAGAGGGCTGCATATGCATATGTAAGCAGGCAGCCTAGCCACCCACTCCCCTGCACTGCTGCCCTTGCCCATGCCCCAGGCCAGGGTGTGCACACTGGTGGTGGGGCCTGCTCTCCCTCTGGGGAAGATGATCTGGGGAAGAGGCCTTGGATTCAGGGAATTCCAGGGTCCCAGATATCTGGAACACTGTCCAGAAGGAAGACCAGGAAAGGAAACCATAAACAAAATAAAAAGACAACCTATGGAATGGGAGAAAATATTTGCAAATGATGTGACTGACAAGAGCTTAACTTCCAAAATACATAAAGAGTTCATAGAACTCAATAACAAAAAACAATCTAATCCAAAAATGGGCAGAAGATTTGAACAAACATTTCTCCAATGAAGACATGCAAATGGCCAATAGGCACGTGAAAAGATGCTCAATATTGCTAATTATCAAAGAAATGCAAATCAAAACTACAGTGAGGTATCACCTCACCCTGGTCAGAATGGCCATTATTAAAAGTCCACAAATGATAAATGCTGGAGAGGATGTGGAGAAAAGGGAACTCTCCTACACTGTTGGTGGGAGTGTGCATTGGTGCAGCCACTATGGAAAACAATGTGGAGAATCCTTAAAAAACTAAAAATAGTTACCATATGATCCAGCAATCCCACTCCCGGGCATATATCCAGAGAAAACTCCACTTCAAAAAGATACAAGTACCCCAATGTTCATAGCAGCACTATTTACAGTAGCCAAGAAGTGGAAGCAACCTCAATGTCTATCGACAGATGATTGGCTACAATGGAATACTACGTAGCCATAAAACAGAATGAAGTGATGCCATTTGCAGCAACATAGATGGACCTAGAGATTATCATACTAAGTGAAATAAATCAGAAAGACAAATACCATCTGATATCACTTATATGTGAAATCTAATATTTGACATGAACTTATTTACAAAATAGAAACAGACTCACAGACATAGAAAACAAGCTTATGTTTACCAAAGGGGAAGTAGGGGGAGGGATAAATTAGGAGTTTGGGATTAGCAGATACATCTACTATATATAAAACAGATAAACAGTGAGGTCCTACAGTATAACAGGGAACTATATTCAATATCCTGTAATAAACCATAATGAAAATGAACATGAAAAAGAATGTGTATGTGTGTGTGTATATATATGACTGAATCCCTATGCTGTACTCCATAAACTAACACAACATTGTAAATCAGCTATACTTCAATTTAAAAAAAAAAGAAAGCACGCCAGGGATCTGAGTGGACATGTCCCCTTGGCAGTGGGGATTTGCTGTGGGGAAGGGTGGGGCCCTCTGAAGTGGGGCATCTGGCAGGGGCCCCCCTTGCCCTGGTCAAAGGGCCAGAGTGCTGACTCTCCAGGCAGTCCTATTCCCTCCTTTCTCCAGGCAGCTGGGCATACTTTTTGAAGAGGCAGCCATTAAGAAATAGAGGGAAAGTCTACCCCTCCAAGGCAGGCTTAGGTTTAGGCTCCAAGAGAAATGGGAGCCAATATGTGGAAGGTGAGGCAGATCCACCTGACTAGGAACTGCATGTCCACAGGAGTGCTTGTGTGTGTCTCTGTATGTCTACATCAGTGGGTGTGTCCATGTGCATTTATGGATATGTCTGTGTGTATATGTGTGTCTCTATCCACTAGTGTATGTATGCATGTGTCTGTGTGTATCTCTGTGTCTTTGTGAGTGTCTGTATAGGTCTCTGTGTGTCTATACGTGTCCCTCTACCTGTGTCAGTGAGTGTATCTAGAGGTCAGCTTGCTTGGTGAGCTTTATCTGTGACACTTCCAGGGTCAGGAGGGCTCCAGGCTAGGTTCTCCTTCCAGCCTGGGGTGGTTCCCTGGCTGATTTGATTATCCTGGTGACACTGTCTTATCAGTGCCACTGGCCTCCAGAGTGGTTTTGCCAGGTGAGTTTTTGAGGCAAACTAGCAGAGATGGCAGATAGAAAGCCCAGTCTTGATGGAGTAAGGAAAGTGGCTCGCTCACCCCTGCTGACTGGAGGGGAAATCAGTGTGGTATTTTGGAGGACAGATGAGCAGTATCTATGAAAAAAATGTTAAATATTCATGCTCTTTGACCCAGTAATTCCTCTTCTAGGAATTCATCTTTAGAGAATAAAAAAAGTTATACACAAAAACATATGTTAACAGATGTTCTTTACAGTAGCCCTTCCAATAGAAAAGAAAAATGGAAACAATTAAAGTGCTTAATAATAAACAGGTTGAATCTGTCTCATTCATCTATACGATGAAACACTAAATAGCCACCAAAAATTTTGCTGTGGACATATGTTAATTGACAAGGAAACATGTTTACAACATAGAGTCACATGAAAAAAAGTACATTATCACAAAAAGGCATCTAGAAGAATCTTATTTTGTTAAAAAAAGTGCATGAATAAAGTTAATGAAGTCTGGAAGAAAACACACCAAAATAATAATAGTGGCTATCAATGAGGGTAAGATTATGAGTGTATTTTCTAATATAATCATAAAATGTATATATAATTAAAATAATTATATATAAAATATATGTGCAATTTCATATATATACTAAAATGTGATGTAATATTTACATACCTACTAAAGTGTATATACTAATTAAAAATAGTAAAGCTCTGGTAAAGGTTATCAACCGTAGCAGCTTGTCAGGATGCCCTGAAGATGTACAGAATGGAAACAGTAGATGAAAACCTCTGTTCACGGGGGATTTTATGAGCAGAAACCAGGCATTCAGCATCCCCCCCCCCCTTCCTAGGCCTCTGCAAGGGTCCCTTAGTTGGGGTGGGGGATGAGAGCAACCCATCCTGCCCTGGAAAGTGAGCAGTAGGACAGTCAGAGTCAGCTGCTCACACACGGCACAGGGCAGCAAGACTCCACCCCTGGAACCTCAACTTCTTTCTGGTGAAAGGGCCAAGGCTATGTGAATCAGTATTGACAAAGGAAATACTTCCCGGTTCCGTATGATAAACGCCTGAAATCCTGAGAAGTCATGAGACCACATTTGAGGCCAGCAGGGTGTGGCCAGTGACCTCATCCACGGTGGCTGGGCCCAGTGCTTGGAGTCAGCCACAGAGTGACTCACCCCTCACTGTCCTGGACAGCAGTGCCCACACCTGAGCATGCCAACAGGGCCTCCAACAGCTTTTCAGCAGGGCAAACAGTTCTCAAACTAATGCCACTGTAGCCACTGCAGATAGAAGATCCCAAACAAACAGAAATGTAGACTCAAACCACAGGGACCCTCTGCCATCCCCTCTTAGCGAACATGCTATTCACTCAGCAAGGATGAGGAAGCCTTGCATGGGTCTGTGCTATACCAAACAGGCCAGGACTACCCCGTGCATTTCCAGAGGCCAGAGAAACCATATTGCTTCCTTCCCTCAGTGGCTCTGCTGAGGCCTCAGAAAGTTGGGCTGAAAGATCAGCTCAAGGGGATGGTACACAAGGTGAGTATGAAGGCAGGGAAAGGGGTAAGGGCCCAGCCAGGGCATCGCAGGGGGGACATGGAATGGGGAGCATGACTGAGTGGAGCTGACAGGAAGCTGAGACTGACAGGTGACAGAGAGTATGGGGGCTCCCAGTTCCCAGCAGTCCCTCTCCCCTGGTGAACTTCGCTCCTGCAGACTGAATACTCAGCCTTCCAGAAGCCACTGAGCAGCAGTGCTGTGGGACCTCAGCTGATGTAGCTTCTTTTGGCACAATCCTTCTATGAGCTCTCAGAGCAATTTATTTCTTAAAAGCTATTCTGCAACCCACTCCTGCCTTTAGTTCACTAAATATCAGCTCCATATCAAAATGCAGCACAAAGGGGCTTCATGTAGCAACTTCCCCTCCAAGGCAGGCCCCAGGGTTGCAATAAGAACCAGAGTGATGACCGCTGGCCCAGTGCCCTACAGTGGGCTGACTTCTTCGCCAGCATTTAAACCTGAACTGTGTTGGATGGCATCGGCTGGAGGAGCCCCAGATCACCCCATGGATTCTTCTGGAGAGGCAGCCTGGGGAGGAGCATGGTAGGTGCCAGGCCTTGTTAGGGTAAAAGTCTGGCCCTGCTGGAAGCAAACTGAATTTCTGTGGTTTGCCTCATCTCAGAGCCCCTCATAATAATTCATTTACCATCAGGCACACACAAGGTGTTTTGATGATGTATCTAAAACCAACTCCACTGACAAAATGCTTCAGTGACTTTCCACTGACTCTGGGATGAAATCCAAACTCAAGGATTGCACACAAAGCCATTCAGCATCTGGCCCTGCCCACCTTTACAACGTCCTTCTCTAAACTCTGCTATACTCCTTCCTAGATTGCTCTGCCTTTCCTCCCCTACCCCTCCTCATCTGGCCAAAACCTATGTGTGCTTCAAGGCTTGGCCCAAACAGTACCTCCTCCAGGAAGTCTTCCCTGACTACTTCCTGCCCCACACCCAGCTGGATTGTGTACCCCTTCTCTGAGCTCACACAGCACCCTGTGTGTGCTTCTATCAAAGCACTTAATGTGAAGTACCTTTTCTGGGCATTGCTGGTTCACTTAACTTTTTCCATAAGCTCTTTAAGGGCAGGGACTGTATCTTTTGCCTTGTGTCTCTAATAAAGTGCCTGGGAGAGAAGAGGAGCTCTATAAACACTTGCTGAATGAGTGGACTCTTGGCATAGGCATGAAAATGGTTCTGGAATCCACAAAAGAGACTATTACAGTTCTGATCTGCAAAAAAGGGTCAGTCTCTAACTTCAGGGCAGTGGGTTTGGTATAAAATTTGGCCTAGATGTTAGAACTGATTGTGAAAGGCTTGTGTTCTAGAATTTGAAGAAGGAAGCAAAAATCACTGGAAGGCAACATGAGTCAAGAATAGTCAGGTCAGATTAACCTTTTCCTGCAGGCAGTGTATGTGGATTTCAGCAGGACAGGGGAGAAGGGTTCCCACGATGCTCTTTCGAACAAGTGGAGAACACTGGCTGGGTGATAGGGCAACTCGAGGAGCTTCTAGCACCTGAAAGACTGTGCCCAAAGTACCTGGTCAGCCTGGAGGGGACCCAGAGTGGGCAGTACAGTGTTCGGGGCCTGTCCTGTCACACACTGTCACTAATGGCTGAATGAAGACACCAAGGGCAAGCTGACATGGACCTGGGAGGGAGAGAGAGTATGCTAGATGATAAAAATCTAGGTTTTTTTTTTTTTTTAAAGATCTGAAGAGGTTCAAAGAGTGGGCCAAGTTGAACGAGAACAAGGCTAATATTATGGTGGCAGGAGGCCCAAAGGCCATGTGTGGGCCTTAGGTGACTGTTAGCCTATTGAGTCAGCTGTGACAAACCCGACAAAGTCATGGGCAATAATCCAAGCAGAGCACCCAGGACCAGGGCATTCTTTGCAGGTTAGACGACCTTGAGTTTAGAAGAGACTGACCAGGAGGGGAGGGGCACTCATTGAAAGTAGTAAAGGAAAGGAGGCTGGTTTGGTCTGAAGGAGGGGAGGTGGGACTCAGGCTTGTGCAGTCTGCTCTGCACACAGGAGCCCAGCTTTGCTGTGTTTCCCCATCCACGTGCCTGGGATGGGCTGCACTGCCTGGAGGAAGGGGTAACAATCCGTAATCCACCACCCAGAGGGACAGCTGTTTGGGTTTGTCCTCCTAGAGCCAGTCCTTCATTGTCACCTTACAAAGAGAGTATTCACACATGTGAGCACTGGTGCCACCCGAGCTTCTTGGACTAGCCTGCCTTCCCCTCAGATATCGAAAGGCTTGTTGTGAGGGGTGGGAACCATGAACTGTGGTGTCCCAGGGACTAGGATCTGTGGTGGAGCCAGTGGGGAGGCCAAATCCAGCTCTGTAAGAGCTGTGCGAAACAAGAGCTGCCAGGAATGGGGGGTGGGGGAAGTGACTGAGAAAAGGGGAGCTCTCTGTCACTGCAGAGGGCCCAGAAGAGGCCAGAAGCCCACCAGGCAGAGACTTTGGAGGGAGCTCACATCCTGGGGCCCTGTTTTTCCGAGACTGCCACAGGCTGACCCTGGCCTCTTCAGTGTGCCCTGGGTACCTGACAGGGATTTGCCCTGTCTCCTGACACCCACATTTCTTTCCTAGAAGAGCTCGTCTTCAATGTCAGGTGAAGTCTATAGATAAGGGATGAGCAGATCTTGAGCTATAAACTTTTTGTTTGTTTTGACTGTGGCCAATTTGCCATCTTAGCCACTTGTAAATGTACAGTTCAGTGGCATTAAGTCCCTTTGCACTGCTGTGTGATCAATCTCTAGAATGCTTTTCATCTTGCAAAACTGAAACTCTGGACCCGTTAAGCACTAACCCCCCATTCCTCTCCCCTCAGCCCAATGACCACCTTCTACTTTCTGTCTTCATATTCTAGGTGCCTCATGTAAGTGGGGTCATGGAGCGTGTGTGCTTTTATGATTGGCTTACTTCACTTAGCTTGAGGTCTTCCATGATGAAGCATGCACCAGAATTTCCTTCCTTTTAAGGAAAGTCATAAAAGTTTTAATTCAAACATTTTTTCCCAAACATGCCCCACCCTAATCACCTCTGGTTGAAAACCTCTGGGCTGCAGAGACCCGAAAGGAACCATTTCGGAAGCCCCACATCAGAACACACATACTACACTGGGTGTAACTGAAAGCTTAAAGCAAATACACGTAAATCACCAAGTTCTGAGGAAGAACATGTCTCCAGCCAAGCATTTGTGAATTTCCATCTCATAAGTAAGAATTAAAGTGTTTATTATAAAATTACGAGGAATATTTGAAGAGCTTAGAAAAATACAAATTTGGAGAAAATATTGTTTCAAAAAATTGGGCACATTTTGCCAAGTCAGGTTTTTCTGTGTTTTAAATGGTTGAATTTCAAAGGAAACTGAATTTATATCTACTTACTGCACTTAGGCTTAATTTGGTAAAGATCTTAAAAGCTCTGTTACAGCCAGATACCCACATGTACTCTCTTATCCTAACTTTTCAGCAGATTTCTTTGATTCAGAAAGGCACTTCCTGTCAAAGACTAAACAGTTTAAAACTCTTGAGGTCTGTGTGTATGCATGTTGTATGTATTAAATATCTATTACTGTTAAATATATATTATGTAAAGTTGCTATGGAGTCACATGTTTATACACCCACACACAAATTGTTCATACTGGCTTCCTTTGTGGAAAGAAAATTGAGGACGGTGGAGTGGAGGAGGGGTGAAAACGTTACCTTCCTGAGCTGTTAGTTTTTTTCATATTGTACATTTAAAAAATGTTTCCTAGGTAATGGTATCATAGGCTATTTTGGTTTCTCTCTTTTAAATTTTTTATACTAAAAAATTGACAACAGGAAATGGTAAAAATAACTCATCCATAAATAAACTCCAAAGTTACTTTAAAAAACTGGCCAAATCTGAAATTAGCCAACACGCATATTCTAATTCCCCTCCTGTCTTTGTTAGAAATCAGTCTTTTTCCAAAATTAAAATGGTAACAAGTGATTACTATGTTGAGTTCAGCTTTGGTTTTCATATCTTCATTCTAAGGGAGTAAGGGAAGCATTCGGAGGTATATTGAGGGGAAACTCTTCCTTGTTTGGGTTTATGTTAAAGAAAAAAAAAGACACACTCCAGAATGACTAATTTTCAATACATACCTCTAGTCCACCATCCTGGTAATTCTCCAGTAATCTCTGTATAAACTTTTCCACAATTTGTGGTCTAATAACTGAAAAGTTTTCTTTCATGACTTGGTGTTTCCAAAGGTCTAGGGGGAGAAACATACCAATAATAGTATCATGAGATCTCAAACAACTGTTAATGGCTGCAAAATGGCAACTGTCTGAGACATAACACTGGACACAAGCTGCCATTTCCAAATACAAGAAAACTAATGGGTGAGAAGGGGGAGGGAGGAGGTGGCTGAGAACATATGACCCTCCAGAACATGGGAATAAGGAAGATCTCTGTTAACAAAGATTCCTAACAAAAGATTTGCAAAAGCATCTCTGAAGTCCAGTGAACAATGTTCTGTTACCATAACTAAAAATCTCAGATCAAACGTTATTACTGCCCTATATGACATCTGTTTTCATTAAGTCCCAAATGTATCTGAACAATTATTTTGACCTAATGCAACTATCGGAAATAAAAGAACTATTGTATTTATCTATTTAAGCACATTCCTGATGTTACAAGGCAAAATTAATTTCAACATAGAGTTAATTTTAAAAAGGAAGAAAAATCAAAAGAGAGGAGTCACAGATCAGAAATACTGATAGCTGACAGACAATGATATGAACTTTATAAAGCTATGAACTTCAGCTCCTGGACTGAAGCAGCAATAGGGCTGATACACATGTGATGAGGCATACACAATTATTCAGAGTAGCATTGTTTTAGAGAGCAAAAGCTTAGAAACAACACATAAGCTGTGGTATATCCTTCCAATGGGATAGTATGCAGCTGTGAAAAAAGGAATTTCTCTGTTCCCTGATGTGAAAAGAACCATAGATTGCTAAGTGGGAAATATGAGATGCCAAAAAATGGATATAAAATGCTGTATTTTGTAAGAAAGATATAGTTAATATAATAAAGGGGGAGGATATCCCCTCAAGCCTATTCAAGGTCATTGCTCCCAAAATTTGGTTTTCTCTGGTACCATCACTTCTCCCCTATTTCCTGGATCACTCACAACACACTTTATTTCTCCCACCTCATAAATATCCTTCACTTGACTCCATTTCCCCTGTCAGCTTTTGCCTCATGTGTTTGTTCCCTTTTTAACAAAACTCTCAGAAAGAGCTGCCTACACTTATTGTCTGCAACTTCTTCCAAAATCTTTCTTAGACCCACTCATCCAGCTTATACCTCTACCACTTCATGGAAACTGATTTTGTCATCAATACTAGTGACCTCAGCGTGGCTAAAGACAGTGGTTTTACTTGACAGTCAACAACATTTCACACAATTTGTCACTCACTCTTGCTTAAGAAACTTTCATCACCAGACACTGGGATAGCAGTCTGTCCTAGTTTTCTTCTACCTCACTTCTCCTTGTAGGTCACTTTTGCTGGTTCTCCTTTCCCTCCCCATCTCCCACTCTTAACACTAGTGTCCTAGGACTCAGCCCTTGGTTCACTTCCCTTTTTCTATCTACACTCCCTTGGCTATCTCATCTAGACTCATGGTTAAATGCCATCCATGTGCTGAGTACCCTCCAAATTATATTAACACCAACTTGGCATCTCTTCTTGGATGTCTGAAAGGCATTTCAAACCTCACTTGTGTGTAATGAAATTCCTGATCTTCCCTCCTTAACTTGCCATCTCAACCGATGGCAGTTCAATTTTCCCAACTGCTCAGGTCAAAAATCTTACAGTCATCATGGATTCTTCCCTTTTTCCCACGCCCATGACCCAATCCATCAGTGACTACTTCAAAAATACACCCACAGTCTGACCTTAATACTTATATGACTCCCAGCCTTTTTCGATCCACCATCTCCTACGGGTTGGATTATTGCAATAGCCTCAAAACCAGCCTCTCCCTTCTTCCACCCTTTCTTCTCAACATAGCAGCCAGAGAGATTCTATTTAAATATAAGTCAGATCATGCCACTCAAAATCTTGGACAGGCTGCCCAACACATTCAGAGTAAACACTAAAGTCCTTGCAAAGTCCTGCGCGATCTGTCTGTCCTCCTTTCACTGCTCCTCTCTGACTTCATCTCCTACTACTCTCCCTAACTCTGTCCACTCCAGCTACTCTTGGGTCTTTGCTGTTTCAAAAATACAATAGGCATGGTCTGCTTCCAGCCTTTGTATGGGCTGTTTGTCTTTCTCCATGCTTTCCCCCAGATACCCACATAGTTAACTCCCTCACCTTCTTCAACTTTGCTCAAAATGTTACTTTCTCAGGGATGTCTATTCTGACCGCTCTATTTAAAATTGCAATGTGCCCCTTCAAACCTCCACACCACCATCCTCCTTACTCCATTATTTTCTTATTCCTTATGTTTATTGATTCTTGTCCGTCTACCCCCTTCCAATGATAAACTCCATGAGAGTAAGGATTTCTGCTCCAGGGGTGGAGTAAGGGTAGTACCTTCTTATCCATGGTTTCACTTTCTACACTTTCATGCAGTCTGATAATATTAAATGGAAAATTGCAGAAATGAAAAATTCCTAAGTTTTAAATTGTGTGCTGTTCTGAGTAGCATGATGAAATCTCACACCATCCTGTTCCATCCCGCATGGGACCACCAACCACCACCACAGTCTGCTCGTGACATCCAGCCACGGACGTCAGAATGACTCGATGATCCAGGATCACCTGAAGCAGATGCTCCTCCTTCTGACCTATCATCAGAAGGTCAATAGTAGCCAAATGCTATATCACAATGCCTACATCATTCATCTCACTTCATCTCTTCCTGTAGGCATTTTACACCTCATACCATAAGAAGGGTGAGTGAAGTACATTAAGACATTTTGAGAGAGAGATCACAGTCACATAACTCTTATTATAGTACATCATTATGATCATTCTATTTTATTATTAGTTATTGTTAATTTCTTACTTACTGTGCTTTATAATTTAAGCATTATCATAGGTATGTATATATAGAAAAAAACATAGCATATATAGGGCTCAGTACTCTCCCTGGTTTCAGGCATGCACTGAGGGTCTTGGAACATGGGTAAGGGGGGGACTACTGTATCTCCAAAACAGTGCCTAAAATATAGTAGCCTAGACAAAAGCAGGGGCCTGGAAAGTAGGTATTGAATGAAAGGATGAATTGGTATATGCATTAAAAAACACTGAAATGACATATAAAAAGCTAATAAAAGTGGTTACACAGGGGCAGCAGAAGGGGGTCAGTGGTGGCAACCAGATTTCTAAATCTGTATGTTTTATATCATTTTGAGTTTTGAGCCAGGTGAATGTATTACCTGTTAAAAACAATGAAAGTATGTCAACCCTCCTTAACTTCCATATGGGACAGCAGAAGTCCCTGTGTATAGTATGTTGAGCAGGGTCTACTTCCTTGTGTGTGGCCCCAGAGGAGTCTTTTTTTTTATTGAGGTATTACTGACCTATAATACTATGTTAGTTCCAGGTGCACAAATAATGATTTGATTATTTCTATACATTACAAAATGATCACCACCGTAAGTCTAGTTACCATCTGTCACCATACAAAATTATCACAGTATGGTTAACCACACTCCCTGTGCTGTGCATTTCCTCCTGGGACTCCTTTATTTTGTAACCGGAAGCTTGTCCCTCTTAATCTCCCTTACCTCTTTCTCTCCTCCTCCCACTCCAGGGGAGTCTTGAGACAAAGAGAGACCTGAGGAGTCAGAGGGAGGAGCCAAGCCCTGCCCCACCCCCTTTCGTTGCGGATGGGGCTGGCCAGAGCCTCCTCAGGCCTCTCCCTGCCCCCAGCTGTTTGTAATTTTAGATGAGCTTTCCTGCCCATACTTTCATTTTTCTGACAGGCCACTCAGCGCACACAGAGGAAGTGTCCCACAAAATCCTCCCAGAAATGTGGATAAGACAGAACAGGAGATTGGGGTTTGCACTCAATGTTATTTACTGGGGGTCCTGTTTTTCAAAATGGGATTCCACATTTCTTCTACAGTTGGCTCCTTTCCATCATAAACATATAAATCTGATTTTGCTTTTCCTTTAGGTTACTAAAGGTGAGTAGACATTTCACCACTGCCCTAGCATAGTTGGTAGAAAACCCAAAAGAGCCTAGAAGTTCATGCTTGTTCACATGTGTAAGACTTCCATAAGTCTAAACTTTGAGATGACAGATCTCATGTATGTTTCAGAGATTTTCAGACAAGAAATTGGATACTTTTCCCAGGGTACTCTCCTGGCGGGTCTCTGGCTCACAGACAAGCCTAGTGAGGGACCACTTCTAGTTTGGAGACCCTCCCTTGGATTGGGGTTTAGCTCTGGGCTCAGCTGAAGGGGAAATATTTTAGCAAAGTGCTGGAAAATCTTCCCAGCATGCTTCTTCCTCTTGAGTTCAAGTTCAGACATTTATCTGCATCTGTAGGCAGGAGTCAGGGGAAGTCAGAGTGAGAAGAATTCATCCAGGAGAAGTAGTTCCTGGCCAAGTGGTGTTGATGGTCTCCAAATGTGTCCCATTTTCATTGTGTGTGTGGTCATGGCTCCTTTAAGACAAAGCATGGAGGTGGGAGGGAGACAGCGCACTGGGGATTCAATTAGGGTTTTTTCTTCCCTCTCACTCTTTTCCCAGGCTGACTGGAGGAAACTTTGACTTCCTGGTGGCCAAACCACTTTCCCTCTTTTCCTCTCTAAAGCCCCCAGCAGCACCCCACCGCCCAGGAAGGGCACCTTGGTTTGGTACCACTTCACTTCTCTGACTCAACCACCAGACCCCTGTGCCTGAGCAGCACCTTGGGCCTCTGCTGAGACAGAACTGAAACTTGAAGGCACACAGCTGCCAAATACGGTTGTTCTCTTGACCAGCGGGGGCAGGAGTGGGGCAGTGGGTAGGTTGAAAACTTTTCTGCTTCCAGCATCTGTATGAATTTTGCACTCCTGTGTTTCTCAAACTGCTCCCCAGAACACTAGTTCCTTCAGTTGATGATAGATATTCCCAAGGGAAGAAAAGGGTTCAAATAAACTTAAAGAACATTTCATACTTTTTCTGGATGTTTACAATGCATAGTAGGATAGTAAAGGCTCTGAGAAGGTTCAGAGTAAAGGAATCTTTTTAACATTATTTACCCCCATTTTTCAAATTTATTTTTAAAAAGCAAACAAAACCCTTCCCCCCAGCCCCTGCCAAACACCTGTAGAAATCCTCCCGTCCGATGCAATCAAGACTAAGTTGGTTGGTCAATCAAAAGAGCCTGTTAAGCTAGAGAGTGCTTAAAAATGACATGTCCTATCTTAAACATTTTATTTAAATTAAAAATACACAATGCTCGCTTCAGCAGCATGTGTACTAAAATTGGAACAGTACAGAGAAGATTAGCACGGCCCCTGTGCAAGGATGACCCGCAAATGCATGAAGCGTTCCATATTTTTACATCGCTTATATGCGGAATCTAAAAAACTGAGACAAATGAACTTATTTACAAAATAAAAACAGACTCACAGACATAGAAAACAAACTTATGGTTACCAAGGGGGAAGGGAGTCTGGGATTAGCAGATACAAACTACTACATACAAAATAGATAAACAACAAGGTCCTACTGCATAGGACAGGGAACTATACTCAATACTTTGTAATAGACTATAATGAAAAAGAATAGAAATATATAAATAGAAATATATAAAATGACTGAATCACTATGCTGTACACCAGAAACTAATACAACATTGTAAATCAACTAGACTTCAATTAAAAAAAAAACTCAAATACATAAACATGTGCCAATCTTCTAATGTAGAGCTAGGCCTTTTTCTTTGTACGTGCCCCCTCATCAGGGTCCTGTACCATCTCTCTTCTCTATATCATAATACGTAGTGCATGGTCTACAATTTCGTGTGTGTGTGTGTGTGTTTTGTTTGTTTCTTTTTATGGAGAGAAAACGACCATGAAACAATCCAAATGCTTCATTTTTTCTTTTTATAGCAGTTTTAGGTTCATAGAAAAATTGAGCAGACCACACAGAGAGCGCCTGCACCCTCACCCAAAACACACAGCCTCCCAATCAACATTCCCCTCCAGTGTGGTAAATCAGCTACAACTGATGAACCTACACTGACACATCATTTTCATCCAAAGTCCATAGTGTACTTTATTGTTCACTCTCGTGAAACTGTGGGTTTGATAACTGTTTAGCAGCATGTATCCATTATTGTAGTATCATACAGAATGGTCTCACTGCCCTAAATTCTCTGTGCTCTGTTTATTCATCCTTCTCTCTCAACTGCTGCAATCACTGATCTTTTCACTGTCTCTACAGTTTTATCTTTTCTCAAATGTCATATAGTTGGAATCATACACTATGTAGCCTTTTCAGATTAGTAATATGCATTTAAGCTTCCTTCATGTCTTTTCATGATTTGATAGCTCATTTCTTTTTAGTGTTCAGTAATATTTCATCAACAGGATGTACCACAGTTTATCTATTTCGACTTAGTTTTTATAGAGCAGATTTCTTTCTGTCCTATTTCAGGTCCTCCTATTTCATTGGTTTACATGATAATTAAACGACTCAAACAAAATGACAAGTAAAACGAGCACCAACAGGTTTGAAGCCAACAGCGATCAACAATGCTGGGTAAACATGCAACCCAAAAACTGTGATTCCTGAGTGCTTTCTCCGCTTGTGAATGGAGAATGGAGTTGGAAAGCAGCAGGTAATCCACTGAGTCTGTTAGTGAAGGGTGGTTGGGAGAATGACTGCATTAACACGTGGAGGAATTAGTGTTGCAGGGCACACTGCTGAGGAAATGCTGACTGAGACCATGTTCTCCCAAGTGTTTTGACTGTGCTTCCTTCAAGCAAAACATTTTTGTTCACTCATCTCTAACATACGTATGTGTATGTATTCCTGACTCCTACCTCCAGGACGATCACTGGCTAATACTGCAAAGCATGATGTACTGAGGGTGAGGGTCATCAACAATGAGAATGCAGCTCGACCCACATTCTCAACAGTTTCCTTGACCTTTAAAATTTTTTGTCTGATTTCTTAGGGGGGATTAGGTTATCTTTTTTAACCCAACAATGTGTGTGAAGATAAGTATGTGCTAGGATTAGAACTGTCAACTGTACTATTTTTCATTATTCACCTGTGGATTGCTTCCCCATGGTTGCTTCAGGACATCTCAGCGAAGAGTGTGACATGGGCTTCTTACATACAGACTTCATTTAGAAGTTCTAATATTTTCCTCCCGTACCCCTGGGATATATGCCTCCACATTGGAGACTGCTGGCCTTATAACTGCTCAGGGAAATTTAAAGAATCAGTTAAAAATGACTTCAATGCCAAAATGTCAATGATGGGGAATGGCAGAGCCTTTTGGGATCAGGGGAGCCCATCTCTCTGATAAACCCTGAGGCTGCATGAGGATGTCTGGGGCTGTTCCTGGACATTCTTAGGGGAGCACAAATTATCAAGGACTAGCCCCAGACCAGGTGTGGCTGTCATCTTTTCAGATGCTCACTGACAAACTGCAAGCTCACTCAGAAGCTCCAAGACAAGGTAGGGAGGAGGGAAGGAAATACAGGGGAGAAGTATTTGAGGGTTCCCTTTAGACAGGTATCAACGGAGACACTGGAGGGGACAACAGGGAGAGAGGAGACCCCGAGGGAAGAACAAGAGCCTCCGATGTCCCCTGTTCTCCATACCCTCCATTCCTGGCTCCCTCTGGAGAAAGCCCTAGCCCCAAGCTAAACTTGACCACAAAGGGTGGTCTCTGCATGAAGAAGCAGCCCCCGTTGGAAGCCTGATCCACCCCAGCTGCTTCCTGCTGCTAAGCCGAGCAGTAGGCGAGTGGAAATTCCATGGTTTGAGCACCCTCTTCCATGTTTCCAGCCCACAGAGGTCTCAGGAAGACTAAGTCAAAGAAGTGTATAGAAAAGCAGCCCTGGCACACAGTGGGGACTCCATCACTTGTACTGGGGGAACTCAGTACAGGAGGAAACCCAGGCCTCCATGCTGAACCATACTGAACAGATGCAAAACAAAAACCAACAATTATAAAACGCTCTCACTATTGGCATTTATTTTTAAAGACTTGTGAGTATAGACTCTAAACAAGATTTTAGAATTGGCCAGTATACTCTAGCCAAGGTAAGATTTGGTAATATCAACCTTACCACTGTTAAAAATAACGCTACCTTCCCCTCAACCCTGCCTGACTTCCCTCAGCTCCTGCCTGAAGGCCCTTTCCAAGGTCAGCTGACAAACACCCTGCACAAGGCAGCACACAGCATATCTGCAAAGCAAAGTACCTTCTTCCCCTGGGCCCCAACCCGATGTCTCATAAGAGCCAAAGACCCGAAATACAGAGACAGTTGCACCTGCTATGTTCTTGTGGATTTTCTCTAAGGACTTGGAAGGGAGCCTCCTGGATGCAGCAGACACAGCACAAACAACGGACGCTTTGTGTCTCGTTTAATGTTCTGTAATCAGAGCTCAACCACGCTCAGCTCTCTGGTGACATTCAGACGCCCAGTTGGTCAGGCTCGCCCTCCCACTGCACAGCCTTACCCCAAAGTCCTACCTACAGAACGCAGTTACTCCAAGCACCGATAAACTGACAATGTCTTAGACGAGGACAGAGGTTATTAATTAACTTTATAATGTCTGTGGGCCTTGTCTCAAAAGGAAAACCTAATTTAATCAGACAATTCCCCTGCAGCTCAAAGGTTGTGGGTTTTCTTACAGAATTAGTAGGAGTTAGAAGCCACTGTAGTTCAGAAAGGACCAGTCACATAATCTATGGTGCACTGTGCAGAATAAAAAATGCAGGCCTTCTTGTTCAAAAATGAGGAGAAGAGGTGTCATTATAGGTAACTAAAATACGAAGTGTTTTTCTTTTTTCTGCAGTCTCTCTCCTGGCCTGTCATGGTGTTTCTATTTGTTTTTAATGTTGAACTCCCAGGGCATGAGAATGCTTGCAGGGCAAGTATGACCTTTACAGGCACCCAGGGGCCCTGACCTATGACTGGGCGCTTGAATGCATGTGGTCTACCAGCTACTGGACTGAGGCTACATGTCCTAGTCGGGGGCAAAGAAGTTGAGCATCTCTCCTTCCCATGGGCCCACTGCTCCAACCCACTGTGTATGGGCAACCCCAAGGTTGCAACCTCTGCCCTGGGATAGTCTAGGTACCCAGGGATGGGCAGCAGGCTCAATCCCACTGTGTCACCATCAAACATATTACGGTGCTGCCAGCTTGGCATCCCTGAGATAATGTCAGGCACACGTGCCCCACCCCAACCCTCGCTGCACTCAGGCCCCCACCAGGGTGGAGAGTGGCAGTGATTACTGGATAGGAATGGTGATGGGGAGATTAGGGGTGACTGGGGTGCCAGAGAGCAGAGGATCAGGCAGCTGAGAACTCCTCCTGGCAAGGTGAGGAGGCAGCAGGAGGTGGGACAGCATGAGCCCAGACTCCAAGCCTTTAGTGCATGGTCACTGGATGCCAAATACAAATACAAATTCTGAGTTAACATGAAGAGTTTCAAGATGGCACCTATAGAGCATTAAACCCTAAGTGCCCCTGTGTGAGTCCTATGGGAGTGCACTGGTCACTTGCCCATGAAGTCACCCTGACTTTAGGTCTCAGAAGAAAGGAAACAATTCTTATTGCCTTCCCACCCAAATATATATATTTGTGATACACACACACACACACACACACACACACACACAGAGGCAATATATACACATTACAAATAAGAAAAGCGTTATGTGTTTCCCCCATGTCAACTATATTTCAGTTATAAGCTAATCAGCAGCACTGAGACTGAAGTTAACAAATATTTTGTATTTAAAAGCCCTTTAAGTGGAAGAAAATCTATCCAAGTGTTAAAAGTACTCCTCTCTGGGTCACAGTGTTAAGAAGTCATTTTTATACAATTTTCTGGGCATTGTAGTGTTTTGTTTTTAAACCATGAATACAGATATGTGAATTTTATAATTAGGAAAAAATAATTAAAATGTTGTTTTATGAACTATTAAAATAAACATACTTTACCTGTAGGGAGAGTATGCTGCTCCTTGGACTTTTCTGACACAACCAGTGCTCTCTCTCTGTTTACTTTTCTTAATACCTCCTGGATCATATGAATTTCAAGATTTTCTAGAAGTTTCTGAAGCTAGAGTAAGAAGTTTGAGAGTCACTCTCTGCTTTCAGCTTACACTCTCAGCTCCTAAATCCCTGCAGTAGGGCCACGGGTTGGGTCCTGCCAGCTACTGTCTCTCAGGGAAGAAGGATTCCTTTCTTGGGTCCCTGAGTTGGGTAGATACACCTTTTTGGAGAGCAACATCTTTTCTTCCTGGCCCACATCCTGATTGATAAAATATGACCCCCTTTTACCAAGTTCTGCTAAATTGCAAAGTGCTCAATATCTGAAGTGACCTCATATCTTTTGGAGTCTTTAAATGTGGCCAGGAATTTCATGGGCTATTATCATAAGAGAAATGCTTAGATTTGAAACTCGATTTAGATACCAACGAGGATTTCACAAGAAGATTTAACTCCATACACAATCAACAGAAAACTCTGTTCCAATATCTGTGGGCCCTTCCTCTACCCAATATGCTAGCAGAGCCCACGTTTCTCCTGTCAGAGGACCTCAGGTGCTAGAGACGAACCAGAGTTCAGAAGAGTAAGCAGTGGGCTTAGGACTGGGGGCTGTGCTGAGGAGGAGCAGTGCTGAGTCCTCCGTGCTGCTCAGTGGACATGCACCTCTGCATCAACGCCCGGCCAGCTAGAGTCATTGCTCCCTGTTACAATAAGCACAGCCAGGCAGAGCCCGTGTCCAGGACTGAAGGGAATAAACACTTGGGAAACAACCTTTTCAAATAGATCACCAACACACACACCATATAGGCTGGTGCATAAACTGTGTTGTTCTCAGGAAAAAAATCACAGGAGCTATTTTAAACATTCCATCTCCATGGGTGTGTGTGTTGTGGCAGGTGGATACTTGTATGCTGGATTTTATGTTTCAGATGCTAGTGGTTATGGTTTTCTATTGTTTTTTTCATGGTGGTTGGTGCACTTTAATTTGAGGAAAATAAAAATATGAACACCTAGACTTACAGAACTGAGACGTTAGGGGTGGTTATTTGCTTATCAAAGTCCTATGTGCCTTTAAGCACTTAGTTTCCTCAGCATCTGTTCAACGATTTACAAACCCTCAATTTACACTTCACTTCTGAGAAAGAAACACCACTTGGGTATAGCTGTAGTTTCACATGCTAATGCCATAGAGTAAATTTTTAAGCCAAGTTCAAAACAGCCTTGCATACCTGCTGAGTTTTTATTTCAATTTCTGAAGCTCCTTTGGGGGGAAGAATAGACTGACTACTTATTATAAGTTCTTCAAATTCATCTTCTTTTCCCATCCGCCTAGCTATGGCTTTCATGCTGGGGTAGAGAATGTCCGTTCTAGTAAAGAAGAGAGGCAGAAATGAGCAAACATATTTTTTTCTCTTTCAGATTCTCTGACAATTCTGTTTCCTGTCATCATGCATAAACCTCCAACCCATCACAGACACTCACACTGACATCTAAACTCACCACGGTTGCCACTCCCTTAGTCAGTATTAAATCTTGAGGCTTTTTCCCATTGGGCACATTTAATTTCAGTCATTTTCTAAAATATGGACACGTCTTTTTATTTCCTATTTACCAGGAAAGCTGACTGTCATAATTCATAAGCTAGACAATTTGGACTAGGCCACCAACGTGAGTGTCTGTGTTCTTAGTAAGGTCCAGGGTGGTGGGTGGGTGCTTAGCAAATGCTGGTTTGATAACAGACACATGGCATCTGCCAGCTAAGTCATCCCGACCGGGGCCTGAAGCTGCGAAAACCACCCAGCATTCGGCAGACCTAAGACCTCACGCTGCCCCATGTTGTTCCTTTGGCTGCAGAGCCTCTGACTTGGGTCTAAAGGGGCAAAGAACAGGTAGGGCACAGCAAGAGCACGCCCTACCCCACCCACCCAATGCTCACTGGGATCCTATGAGCTAAAATGTTTAAAGTCAGCGCTGCAGGGACATTTCAGAAACACCAGCTCCCAGGGACAGGACTCTGGGTAAATGATCTACAGTGCTGCAGTGACCTCCGGCGCCGTCCCCACAGTCAACAGGATCCAGCTTTTCCTGTAAAGCACCATCTCTACAGACACACCGCCCAGCTTCCTCTGGACTCATGGACCAAACTTCCTTCCCCGCGCAAGGGCAGGAATCTTCCAGTCCCCAGGTTCACATGAATTTCCCCCTCAGCAACACTCACCCGTAGAGCTCCAAGAACTGTTTGTGGAAAGAGAGAGAATTGATATCCTGGCTTTGCAGCTTTAGTCGGCCCCAGTGCTCCTTTAGCACTTCCAGCTGCTTCCACAGCACCAGAAATGATCTCAGCAAAGCGAGGGACATCACTGCATTGCACGGGCCCCCCAGCAGCTCGGATGCCTTTGGGCTGCTTTGGAACTGACTTCTAAATCCTGGCACTCCAGACAAATCTGGCTGAAAGCATTAGAGGAAAATCTTCTGTATTGATCATGGACCAGCACAGGGTAACCTTTTACATGCAGCCCACACAGAATGAAGTCTTTGGAGAATGACTTTTTTCTCTGGGAGGAATGGTTTACAGGCCTGCAGCCCACATGGAGCTTGGGGAGGAGAAGCGTCCTTCCTGAACAGACAGTAAACACAGTGGACAGAAGTGTCTCCACTCCAGCTTTCTGCTTAACTCTTGAACCACTCACTTAAAACTCTTCTACTTGGGTGCTAACATTTTATCTGTATTAGAAAAATTGAGCCTCTGCATCTTGGAAAGTGGCCTCTGACACACTCAAGATTTAACTCCCCTCATCATGGTAGAGCTATAACATAGCCTTAAATTGGGGGTTTTATCCATTTGATGAGTAAGAAAATGGAAACTTAAGTTTATCTTATTTCCTGTTCTTTCTCCCACTCTTTAAAAGTTAGGCAGAGAACATGTCACTTGATTAGAATTTATTATTCAATAGGCAATTTTTCTTTAGAATTCTGATTTGTTCATTGATTCATTGGTGCTTTCCTTATATGAGTGCTTGTGGAGGAGCTGCTGTGAGGCCTGGAGGATGTGGAGGAAACCAGGTTTTCAGGCCCTTGCTCTCCCGCACCTGTGGTGGGAGGGCCGGGCTACCCAAAGTAACAGGCAGAACGGGGACCTGCATCTGGCCCTATGGCCTGATGCCAGCGTCTCAGTCACAGAAACAGGAGCTTTCCTTTCAGACGAAGATGGCAAATCTGAACCATGGTGTTATGACCAGAAAGGCCTCAGAGAACATTGAGGTAACACCACCTTGGACACTCAAGTTTCCTGGCTCGGAACTGGAAGAACCACCACCTGGTGTAACTGGGTCCAGATCAGTGCTATCAACATATTAATGTATGGGGTTGGGGGAGGGAAGCAGGGCTGCCACAAAGAGCATTGGTCAGAGGAAGTGCTGACAAGCAAAACCCACAGCAGAGAGAAAGCAAACTCCACTGACAGCTGGCAACCCCTCCACCTAGTAGCCTACTTCTTCAACAATCAGCTAATGCATGCACTTCCAGATTTATTTTATCCCCAGAAACCTTTCAGCATATATATCTTACTCAGTGACCCAAAATATCAATAGACCAAGGCTGAGCCTGGTGACAAGGAGGGCCAGCCCATATACAGGCCCCTCTGCTCAAAAATCCCCAAAGTCCCTCGAGGAACCTAGGGCTTCTGGGGCAGTTTTACAGTCCCTGAGATCATCCATCACCTTCACTTGTGAGTCTTGGCGACTGAAGTCTAAGAGATTTCAGAACAAGAGGCACAGCTGGGACAGGAAACCTGGAGTCCTAAGTCATAGGCAGTACAAACTCCAGTGTTTCCTACTGTCTATGAATATTGAAAGACTCTTAAATAAAGCCAATCATAAAATAAAACTAATTAAAAATAATTTTAAGACAAACTTACCTTGTTAATATATTCACATTCAGAGATATCTTCTCTCCCTAAGTAAAACACTTAAAACAAGGGATGGGAGAAGAGACAGGAGACAGGATAAAGAACCAGGTGGGGGAGGGTGGGACTGTCAGGGAAAGACGGTACTCCATCAGCAACAGAGCCAAAAAAGGGTAAACAGAAGGACCAGAGGGCCCGGCATACTTCTTGATCTTGACACTGCTTGGTTGAGTACCAGCTTTGCACATGCTCCCTCCAGATAAAGCATCAAATTCTGCAGTGAAATTTACATGGCATTTCTAAACACACTTCCTTTTCCACTAATTGGCTTGAAGTGGACTTGTGATGCAGTTTTAGCCAGTAAGAGAGAAGAAAAATCTACTGGAAGTCTTCTGGAAAAAGATTTCCCTCCTTGATAAAAAGATAAAACTCCTTAAGGAGACAGTTTTCTCATTCCTGTTTTCATCTTAACAAGATAAGGGAGACATTTTGCTGACACACCAAGGATGGCAGAGCTGGGTGCCTGCACCAACCAGAATTGCTTCCTTCTAGACTTGTTTTGAAAGACAAATACCACTCTCTAATTTAAGTTGAGACTAGTACAACAACTCTTACTTCGAGCGGGTGTGCCCTCGCTGGCACAGAGGGGCATGGCTCAAAGGTGGGAAGTCAGACAAAGCTTCTTAAAGAGTGGCTTGGAAGTTGAAACCTGAAGGACAAGTAGGAGTTAATCAGATGGTAAAGCAGAGAGTGGGAGGAGAGGGAAGTGTTCCACCAGAGGGGCCAGTATGCATGAAGGTACTGAGGAGAGAGCACGGTGCATTTGACAAAATGAAAGAAGTTGGCGGTAGAGAGACTAGCAGGACTCAGGTCATGAAGATCTGTTTGAGGCACTTGGACTCTATTCTCAGGGCATTTGGAAGTCACTGAAGAGTTATAGGAGGGAAGTGACATAATCAGGTTCACATTTAAAAATATCACCCTGGTGAACAGATGTGAAGGAGGGAAAAGTGAACACAGGGAGTCCACGTAGAGGTTATGATCACAGCCCAGCATGAGAAGACGATGGCGATTTGGACTATTGGAGGGGGGTGGAGAGGGAGGATGGAGAAAATGTGAAAGACATTAAAATAATAGGATAGTAAAACTTGGTGTCTGATGGTGGGGTAGTATAGAGAGAAGTCAAAGTTGGGTGTCCAGATGTTTTGGCTTGGGTGGCTGTGCAGGTGATGGTCAACTGACAGGGAATAAGGAAGGGGGAGCATGTCTGGGGGCAATAAAATGAGCTCAGTTTGGGACACATTGTCTCTGAGATGGAACAAGGCAGTTGAACATATGAATCTGATAGGATTGAGGCTTGGGCTGGACATGTAGAGTTCGGAGTCATCATATGTAAAGCCATCACAGTTACAAAAGTAGATGGGTTTGCCTCGGGAGAGGGTGAGGAGTGGAACAACACAGCAGGTAAGACTCTGAGGGAGCTCCAGGGCCAGAATGTGAGGCTGGAGTCTGGGTTTCCTTTCTCTCTCTCGGCAAGTGACTTCAGGCACATCACTTAGCCTGTGTCTCAGTACTCTCACCTGTAAAATGAGAATAATGAAAGCATCAACCTCATGAAATTATTGTGAGAACTGAAGAAATTAATAATTAATAAAACACTCTGAACAGATCTCAGTCATAGACAATGGTGTTAATGGTGTTCAGGGCCAACTTACTGATTACACACAGAAGGCACAGTGTTTAGGGCCCACAAAATGTTTTAATTTCTTTTAAAATCAGAGAAAAGACATTCACATTAAATAAAATGCTTTAATGTACCATATTAATATTTTTTTTTGTATTAGCACAGCTGTAAACTCTACCTTTCAATGTCTTTTTAGGGAGTAATGGGCGCACAAAAACAAAAGCGGCTAGAGTCACGGAGTCAGAATGCAGCCCTTTTAGTAGGAGGGGCGGGACAGAGCCAGGAAAACCACGCCCTCAGGACTGGCAGAGGGAGGGGCGTCGGCAGAGAGGTCTGAGAAGGCGTGGCCAGCAATATCAGCAGGAATTGGAGAGAGTTGTGTTTTGGAAGCCAAGGGCCGAGAGGCTTTAAGAAGGACACCCTGTGTCAGATGCTGCCAAGGAGTCAGGTTGGAAGGCGACTAAAAAGAATCCAAGGGATTTAGTGACAAGGACCATGGAGCCTTGATGAGAGTAGTCTTAGTGGTGAGCTGGGAAGAAGTCAGACTGCAGTTTCCAAGGAGTGGATAGAAAGTAAGGGAATGGAGATGGCTGGTGCAGAAAGTTAAGCTCTGAAAAGGGGGCTCTTTAAATTGGGCACCAGCTAGCTCACCCTGCATCCAGACAAGTCTCTGTCTGTTTCCACATATGTGCAGAAATTATTTCAAGTTATGATACTAGGTGGATTACCGGCTCTTGGTACCTTACAGCTTCAGAGGGACAAGTCCAGAGAAGGGAGGCTTGCCTGGAGTCCATAGGTTAGTTCAGTGATGAAGACTGGACCCAGGTGGGAGATGTTCACTTAGGGCCTCTATCAACCCCTCTGGTCCTTCCAACTCCAGTCCTAAATGTGTGACTCACAAGGAAGTGCAGCCAGTTGGAGTATTTGTTCCATTTGGTTTCAGTGGACCCCCTCACAAGTTTGTTCTACTTTTAAAATTAGAAGAAATGGATATACCACTAATTACACTGAATACTGTGAAGGAAAGTACTTTGAAGGGGCTCTCACTGGTTACCCCTGCTTCACTGCTGCTCCTGTGTGGCACTGGCACAGTCCTGGGACCCTGGGAGAGGCTATGGGACAGATGTGGCTTTCTAGCCCACCTCTCAAATAGAAAAGTGCTCAGTGCAATATAGCATTAGCCAATTATGAAGACTGTTCACCAAGGATACCTGTATATTTTTGTCCAGTGTGACTTGCTGTCCTGGGGAACCCTCCATGATCACATGATAGTTGCTCAGAAGTACATCTTCCATTAGCAGTTGCACGCCCACCAGCTCTCCGTGAGCCACCTTGAGGTCGCGGTCACTCAGCCTACAGAGGCATAGCTAAAAACAAAAAAGAACAAAACGAAACCAAAACATCCATTCTGAAGTCTTCTAGGTACCCCTTACACATGGTTTTATGGGAGGAAAACTAGGGGTAGATGTGTTTACAAGCCCCGCCCTCTCAACTATTAAAAAAAAATCCATAAAAATAAGAGCAACGTTTCTAGCTCAAAGTCCTCCTTGATCATCTCAGACTTTTGGCTCTGTAGGGAAGTCCAAGTTTCCCAAAACTGACAGTTGTGTCTGTACATGGTAAATGTATAGTGTGATGTCAATTTTCCTTTAAAAGTACAGATCTAAACACATGTAAGCACAGGGAAAATACTAGGAAAAAAAAAACCAAAACGAACTGTGACCGTCTCCTAGTGGGGGATTATGATTGATTTTTTAAAACCATTCTTACCATTTCACTTAAAAAATTGTACTTATGGAGACTTTTGAGCATACACACAAGCAAACAGAATGGTTCCCATCACCCAGTCCCAAGAACCACCAAGCCATGGCCAGTCCTGCCCCGTCCCAGCACTCCCAACCTCCATATTATCTTGAAGCAAATTTATGATTGACTTTCATGTTGTTATTAATACTTTTTTGTTTTTTTAAATAAAAACACAATAATATTTGCTTAAATAATCAGAAGGAAAACATATACTTGAAAGAAATTCTCCTGTTGAGTCCTACTTAAAGAGTTTTCTTCCTACCACTGTAGGTGGGTCAGGAGTCATACGCTTCTGAGCTGTCAGCCTGGGAGTTTCTCTAAGTGGCTCAAAGGGTGGCTGGAAGTGGATAACTGCTCCCTCAGATCATTACTGGCCTGGGGAGTTTCAGCTGCTACGCAGCTGATGCCAGCTGAAACCATGATTTTCTTCTGCCACAAGAAAACATGACTCACCTTGTGGCACTGGGTTTATAGCTTCATAACCAAACACCTTGCTTATCTTGTAGATTATTTATCACTGGCCAGCGTAGGAAGGATCTGACCTATGGACCCAAAGATACCTTTTGCAGTCTGCATTTAGTTCCCTCTGTGACAAGTGGAAAGATCTATCCTACCTGCATATTATATTCTAGGGTATCTGGGCTGCTACTCATAACTGGAAATGGTCCTCCATCTTCCAGAAATGCTCTCCAAGGGAACAGCACAAATGCCTAAAGAAGAAACGAATAATAAATATAATAATGCTGTATTGTATCCATAAATAATAGACATCTACATGTGAACGAGACGTCTGTGTCTGCACACCAAAACACTGTGTGATGATTTATTTACTATGTAGAAGTAGTTATTGAAGGATGGTCCCTAATGATGCAGAGGAGAGAGAAGTAATCTTATTTTTTTTAATTGACTTTTCAGAAGTGGCTAAACACAGAAGGATACTTAAACTGAAGTACTAGTCAGTACCAGTGTTTGGAAGTCCCAGAATAGTTTAAAACCAATGGAACATATTTATAATCAACAGAAGTGAATGTACTCAAGTTTTCTCAACATTAAGAACCTTAAAAATTTGCCCTTTATCGCCATTGTGCTACAATTCTATGTAACAACTCAAAACCAATGCCATAATGTTACACATGGGCCTCTATCTTCTGCACGTCACTGTTCGACAGTCAAGGCATCGCCTATTCCCTGTGGCGCCACATGCAGCCTTGGAGATAGTGGGCTTGTCCATCTGACCCCATTCTACACTTCCAGACCTGCTACTGGCTTCAGACAATTCCTAGAGTTGAAGTAGATACAGGTAGCAGGGAGCCAGGACACCGGTGTCCACCTGACCCCAGGCACACAAAGGCAGCAGGAGCAGGCCCAATGGCCATGGTCCAACTCTGTCTTCTGGGTTTAAATAAGGGTAGGGTTGGGTCAAGAGTCATTGGCTTGTAGCTAGGGAAGGTAGAAGTGTGGGACTTCTATGGAGTTGATGTCTGCATTACTTGGCTTAGCTTTGAAACATAAAAACATTAAGTTGGAGGTTTTGGAATCAAAAGACTTGGGCTTGGGAGATAGTTTTAAAGATACGTTCATAAAGTCTTTGATTCTCTTCCCAGTAAGAGATGGAACTTCTTGATCTCAGTCTGGGGAGAAACCCTGTGCCAGAACTACCTAGCTAAGCTGTTCCCATACCCCTGAACCTCAGAAACTATCTGAGATAGTGAATGTTTATTGTTTTCATCTGCTAAGTTTGGGGGTAATTTGCTACCAGGCCATAGATTACTACAACAGTTTGTGACCCAGCGCCACTGTGGCTGCCCAGCAGTCTGATCTCTGGCCTTCCTCAACCCTAAACTCTTTAGTTGTAGAAGATGGGTAATAGAGCTGGTGTCTGGGAGCAATGACAGTTGGCCAGGATTACCTTTGATAACACATGTTGTAACCAGGGCTGTTCAAAACTCAGCTGCTGGCCTAAGTTATGCATCATCATTGCTATCATTATTATCTGTTACATGGAGGAGATCAGGTGTTGGTTTTGCTACCAGCTGTGAGCAGATAAGCTGTGGTCCCAATTAGCCTGTGGAGTAGTTTGCAGGCAGAGCCTCTGACTGGGATTAACAGCGGCCCATGGGGCCCAGGCCACCCTACCGTGTGAGGGAAGGGGAGCCAACCAAGGCTGCAGGGCATTAGGCACAGAGAGTCCCTGCAAAATTTAAGCCAAACAGAAACAGAGTGACAAGATCCCCTACCTACGACACACACAGATACAAATAGCTCTCAAAGCACCTGGAGGCTCTGTGGATCCAGTGGTGGGGGCAGGCTGAGCTGTGAAGCAAAAATGCTCTTCACTGGAGAGTTGCTGAGTGGTGGCAACCCATGGTACATGCCGTCTGTGACAGACTGGTAGGCAGGAGCATTCCCAGCTGCCAGAAATGTTCTTCTACCAAAAGACGGAGGGAATCTCATTAAAAGCAGTCATTTGGGGGTGGGGGAGGGTATAGCTCAGCGGTAGAGTGTGTGCTTAGCATGCACAAGGTCCTGGGTTCAATCCCCAGTACCTCTATTAAGTAAATAAGTAGATAGATAAACCTAATTACCTGCCCCCCCCCAAATGAAACAAAAAAATTTTAAAAAGTATATACTTAAGTTTCTAAAGCTCAAAACTGTCTTCAAGGTTACTGTAGCAAGGTAACATTTTGAGATACCAATGAGTTTCTTCCTCAGCCATCCCTCACTCCCCCTTCTCTACACACTGTCCTCCATTCTCACAGTTCACTGTCCTCACGGGAAAGGCAGCCACCCTCCAGGTCAGCAATGTCTAATAGGACTTTCTGTGGTGTGGAAATGTTCTATAGTTCACTGTCCAACATGGTCGCCACCAGCCACTTGTGGCTTTGGAGCACTTGAGACGTGGCTACTGTGACTGAGGAACTGACTTTTAAGTTTTATTTCATCTACATCAATATTACTTTAAACTTTTAAATGAAATAGCCACACATGGCTACTGTATTGGACAGTTCAGCTGTAGCTCTAGAACAAAGATGTTGATTGTTGAGTTATTTCAAGACCAATAGCTGAGACAGCAATTGTTGATATGTAAAACCAAATTTTAAGTTGCATAATAAGAGCCTGGGGTTTGAGAGATTGAAACCTTCTTGTTTTGTTTTGAATAAAACTTGGCTTTGCATATCAGGAACTAAAAATTCTGAAGACTAGAGCATGAAACTTGTACCATAAGTCACAGAGAAGGAAGTATGCTTGATAAATCACAATCCTTTTGTTGCCCCAAAGGAAATGAGTTTAGCAAGCAAGGAAAGACTGTTTCTAGAACTTATATCTTGTAGATGCCTAAGAAAAGATGCTGCTACAGGATAAATTGGAGGGGGTGGCCTAAGGTCCCCAGAGCAGAAGGCATCTTTTGCCTAAATCCTTCATGGGCTTCGCCCAAGTCATGCATAAAGCACACATCAAAAAGAAGGAAATTAGCAATGACTGAGGGAGACATCAGCACTGAGGGAAATGAGGCAGCCTCACAGAGACCAGCAGACAATGACAGTGTTGGGGAAGGATCTGGGGAGTGCCTAAGACCCCATGAAGGGGTATCCAGGTGGGGTGCTGAGCAGCATTCTGACCAGAGGCGATACGGGGTTGGACAGAGATGGATGGGGTGGCCGCTCCTCTTCAATGGCTGGGATGATTTATAAGCACCCCCAGGCACTTCTGAGAGGGATGAAGGAGGAGAGGGTGTGGTGTAAGGCTTAAAGTTAAGGTCCAATATTACATTTTCTCCCCTTCTCAATTTATAGGCGTAAGGTCCTCTTGTCAAACAAGCTCCCTTATCAAAGGGACCAAGTGCAGTCAATGCCCGCTTATCCCTAAGGATTGGTTTCAGTTCGCTGCTGAACAAAAAATTATTCAAACAAACAAATCATATCCTCCTGTGGGGACCAGCAGGCAGCACACCCTCTTGATACTACAAAGCCTGCCTCCCGAGCCCCTAGTTGCACAAGTGCAAACACTCTGCGGCCCTGCATGGCATGCAATGTTCTGTTCCCTTCGGCTATGAGTACATGTGACTAAGAAAATGCTGCTGTTCTCATCTGTCCAGTGTTCAGGGTCATGTGCTTGGCCATCCCCGTAATCTTGGTGCAGAATCCTTTCCTGACCAACAGGGTGAAAAGGAGGTAATTAAAACAAAGGGAAGAGGGGATAATCTTGAATTAACTGATTTTAGATCTCAAACTGACCACTTTTAAACTCTAAATGTGGCTGAATGATATGGAATCAGAAAGTTTAATCTTTTTGCCATCGGCAGAAGTAGGGGCTTATGAACTTAACTTCAAAGACAGATAAAGGGAATTCTAAATTTATACATCAAACCATTGCATTAGTGCAAAAATCATACCACCCTTTTCACATATTAATGAGAATTAACAAAAGATAGTTGCATACTGTTACATTCTGAGACACTGGACAAAATCATTGATTTCTCCTGCTAGCTCAAGGATGGAGTTTGGAGTTGCTCAATGGATAGATAAACATTTTCTCCCGTTTCTCATGTTTTATCTTGATTCTCAATGGGCCCTGCCAAGGAACCCATGATTCACTCAACAGCCATATGACAGTGATGTATCGAGGACAGGAAGATACATCCGAGATGCAAAGATGGGACCTACATGGTTCTGACCTTCCAGCCCAATAGGGCCCAGTGAGACAGACCTCATTACCCAGCTGCTCCTGACCTTCTTCTTCTGATCTTCCTCCCAAGGTACTTTCTACATACACATCTCCCTTATAGGTTGTATTATATCTTCTTAAAACAGTGATACTTCAGACAAAAAATGTGGCCTGCCATTTCAGTAAACAATGAACGTTGCCTGCTATTAAACCCTCAGCCCCCGCAGCCATGAGGAGACGGTGTGCCCTGAGGAGAATTCAGGATGGAAAAAAGCAGGATACTGGCCCTTGGAAGGTGAAGATGCATATCCAAGGAATGATTTCAATGAGCCCAGACTGTTGCATCTTCCCATACATAGACAAGCACTAAAATCATTAACTTGAGATGTTTCTTTGTGATTAGTAGTAATCCTTCAATGTCCAACTACATGGTTTTTTTTCTTTGTTTGTTTGTTTTGGAGCAGTCCCTCAAAGTTAGCTGAGAGGCTATTCCCTGGGCTATAGTCCTCAGTAAGGTCCTGAAAAAGACATAACTCACAATTTCTGGTTGTGAGTTTCTTCTTCAGTTGACAGTACCAAAAAGCAGAGTATTCTAATGGAGACATTTATTTCCAGCCTAAAATTAAGAGCACAGAACCCCAGTACCCCTCAAGCCTCTCCATGGCCGCTCCTTCCATGTCATTCCTGCGCTTCTCGGCCACCAATCTGTGGAATTATTTCTCTCTCCCTCATCCTCTGGGTCCAGCTTTGTTTACATCTTACTGTTCAATCCTTGACTGCACTGCTTATATTTTAAAACTTACTTTTTGGTTATTATGATGTTTTGACATCTAAAAAAACTCAGAACTCTGCTGGCTGGGAAGAGACTGCCTCTCCTTCGCTGACCAATTCTGAGAGACAGTTGAGGACCCAACAAAGAATATGCCTTTGATACATAAACTAGCCAATCTGGGCCATTCCTCCTCAGACCCTTGCAATCCAGGAGGCAATATTCCTCTGCTTTAATCATCCCAGGGCTAGTGTACGAGCAACTAGAGACCACCCCTACAGCCCAAAGCGTGCTGGAATTATCCAAACTAGCTGATCCTAAACTGTTCCCCTGCCCTGCCTTGCCTTTCCAGGCCATGGTCTCAACATCCTTCCTTGCTCCTGATCCACGTGGCCATGTGTGACATGGCTCGATGCCTGTTTCTAGGAACTGAGAGTATAAATGAGAGTATAAAACTTAATTTTCCTGAGTTTCTCCTCTGTCTCTTCTTGTGGCTGCACTGCACTGAGCATCACAGAAAAGAACACAGAACACTGACATACTCTCTTATCTTGGTAAGTTTGTGCAGAACTTTTAACTACTAAGTGCCAAAGCCCACCACAATTCTTGGCAGAGTTTTAGAGCCCCTAACACATACTAGATCTGTTCATTTATAGATGCTTGGAGACTACTCAAAAATATCAATCCATCAGACATTAATATGACTGCTCTCCTAAGCTACAGAATCATAGAATATGATACATTCTCTAGAGAACCAGAGTTAGAGTCTAGGGACCACCATTGATCAAATCCTTGGTTATCCTTTTCCTCACTTTCCTGATTTTTCAGTCTAGTCACTGTCCTTGTAGGACCCATTGCTGGGCCAACTGATATTCTTCTAAGTACAAGGACCCCCCTTCCTGGGCTCTCAGATCTGCCTGTGATCCCTCAATAGATAAAGTACATTCTTTACTGGGCATGTTTGCCCTAACGAACTAATAGCTCTAGCTGATGCCTAATCTCACAATAGCTCAGGCTGGCTTGTTTCAGCCCTTACGAGAGTCATAAACCCCACCGTCCTTCACAGACCCTAAACCTCTTACCTCACCTACAACCAATCAGAGACTTGTGCACAAGCCGATCAGGCACCTTGTGACCCGACCTTATAAAAGACCCCAACAACCAGCCCTTGGTGCTCACACAGACACTTCTCGCCTGTGTGGCCCACTGTTGTCTATGGCAGCATACCCTAATAAACTCCTTTTCTATTCCCATACTTTATCTCTGGTAAATTCTTTTACCAACCTGCACATCACCATGTCACCAACGGGCCCCCCTGTTGTATCCCACAACACTCATCTCCCTTCTGAACAGAACTGTGTATTAGGGAGCTGTACAGTGTAATGCTATGCAAGGAAAGGGGTTTCAAGATGATACCCAACATTTTAAGTCCTATATCCTCTTTTGTTTCCTTCCTCTCCATGGACCCCATATGCTGAAACATTTTTCTATCAAATTAAGCATTTTCCTATTTTTAACTCAAAACCACATACTCATCCAGCCTAAGCTCTGAGCTATAGGAAGAAATGAAGAAACATGATATAAAGGGAAGAACAGGGCTCTGCAGTTAGAAAAACTGTATGAATGTAAGTTCTGCTACAACAAGCTGTGTGACCCTGGGTAAGTTTCACAACTTCTCTGACTCACCATCTCATCTGTAGAAATGATGACATCATTGCTATCCCACAGAGTTGGCATGTGGTGGGAACTCAACCAAAGAAACTTCCCTCTCCTCCTTATCTCACTCAGTTCTTATGATTTCAGTTTTAAAAAGAAAGAAATGTGATATTTTCCTTACCAGCAAAACTTTGGGCAAATGTATTTTTCATCATGCCTTTAGAAATACTGAAAACAGATTACTGTGACAACTCACTCAGACCCTCAGTTGGTAAGCCCTGGCCTGTACCTTCTGCAGGGGAAGGTCTAATCAGTGCAACTTGTCAGCAGCACTCAAGATACAGGGAAACCTATAGGAATGAAAGATTGGCTTGTTGCTTATGACGTGGTGAATCTGCCAACCATCGGCCCCTAATAAAGTCAGGTCTCCCCAGTAGCCCACTAAAATGCCAGAAGAGATGCGCCAGTCTCCAAACTGTTCTGCTGCATTCCAGCTGCCTGACTGTCAACAAGCAGTCCAGGGTTTCCTAGATCACCAATCACCTCATGTGTGAGACAGCTACCCACAGAGTGATCCCAGGCAAGCTGGCTCTAGCCATCAGGAGCCGGGAATTCATGGGGCAAATGCTAGGGTTTTTCCTGGATGCAAGGATATAAAGACCAAAACACACCTGCAAAGTGGCCTGGGGAGGCCAGGCAAAAGTTGTGGCTCTTCACTTAGACACTGGAGACCAGGACCGTGGTCCTGAGCTAGGCTCAGCGCACATGAGGCCTTCCCTGTATCTCCTAGAAATCTCCAGAGAACCCTAAAGCACACTGTAATATTTGTGTGTTCAGAGACACTTAAATTGATGAGCATAAAACTAAATTGAGAAATGAAGAGAAAATCCACACAAATTCAAGGACTAAGAAATTAGTGTTGCTTCTTGAGAGACCCCTTGACATACCCCTAAATCAGGCTTACTGCAGGAAATTACTGCACCTCTGGTTTATTCCACAATCTTCTCCTTTATACACTAGTCACTCTGAATGTCAATAACACATTCAGATTAGTGACATTTTCATGCCATAGGTTTTTAGCCTGTTCTAGAGAGTTCCTCTGAAGATTTTTTTTTTTTGCCTCCCTCCATTCTTGAATTTCAAAGGAATTCAATCCTTTAAATCAGGAAGTGGCAAACTCTTTCTTAAAGGGTCAGAGAGTAAATATTTTCAGCTCTGTGGATCATATGATCTCTGTTGCAACTATTCAACTCTGTGGTTGTAGTATAAAAGTAGTCAGAGATTATCCATAAATGAGTGGGCCTGGCTGTGTTCCCAAAACTTTCATTTCTGGACACTGAAATTTGAGTTCCACATAATTTTCTTATGTCACAAAATACTACTCTTGAATTTTCCCCCCAATCATTTAAACACATAATAGCCACTCTTACAAAGTCAGGCAGGGGCCTGTGGCAGTAGCTCGCTAGTCTCTAACTTAAACAGATGAGATTGATTAGAAGTACTCAAGCATTTACCTTCAATGCAAATAGTTAATTCACCTGAAATTAAAGATAAGCTCAATCCTCAGGCATTTCTTGCATTGGTTAATAAATAACTCCTGCAGGTTGGTGGACGCTGCCATTGGGAGACAGACGGATTTCCATCAGGTTCTTGCCTGCGTTTGGCAGAGGACAGGTCAACCAGAGAAGAGAGAAACTTCTATGCTTAGCAGCATGCATCTGTCCTGCAATCTGAGCTGATCTATGCCACAGAGAAGCAGGGGCCAGCTATGAGGGGACTCCACGGGGCCACTGTCCTGTGGTCCCTGACCTACACCCTTCCTCACCTCCCCCAGTCTACGGAAATGTGCTGATCTCATTCCAGGTAAGAGTTCAATTCCTTCTCTTCAAACTCTGGAGAACCCTTCAGTTTACACAAGCAAAAAGTTCCCTGGGGTAAACAGTCATGTTTGCTCAGAGCTGGTGAGCTCTGGGAAGGGTGTGGGAACTTCCCTAAGCTTCCTGTCTCTCTTAGTTATCTAAGGATGACTCTTTGTTTGCAAGTTCAACACTAAGTAAAATCTTCAAGAGGAGTGACATTTGTTTTTCAGCTTTTCTTTTTCTCTGACCTCCTGCCTTCTCTTTAGACTCTCTCTTTCCACCCATATGCTGCTGTCTGGCATCCATCCTAGTTCTCAGGCTTTGGAGTCAAGTGCACCGGGGTTCTAATTCTGATCCGCCACATACTAGCTGTGTGATTCCAAACATATACACACCCTGAAAAGCTCTGAAGAAAAAAGTCTGGAGGAAATACAATAAATGAAGAACTCCTGGAGGTATACCATCCTGGGTGGTTCCCTGAGGTCCTCTGAAAAATATACTGAATAATCTGAAACCAGACATGGGACCCAGTACCCTCCATTCCTGCAGACTGTGCCCGGGCAAAGAAAATCCCGCAAAGCAATTCCTGAGGGAAGCAGAGTGGTTCTCCTGGGAGAACAGAGGCAAGCTGAACCCTCTGCAGCTGGAATCCAAAAAGAACTTCTGGGATATAGTCCTATTTCTTCACGCTATGTACATTCCTTGCAAATTCTGACTTGGGATTTCAGAGCCCAGAGGGCTAATGAATGGCTATCCTGACAATGAGTTAGAGCTTTTATCTCCTACCAGCTTGACAAAGATATACCTTGAAAGCTGTCAATCAAAAGAAAATGAATGAGCCTGATTTTTTTTTGTCCTGCCGAATTTACATTCTAAATCGGGTCCCCTAATGCTCAGAGTAAAGAAAACTCAATGTGAAAGAAGAAAATACAGCTCAGTACGTGTTCCACATTTCCATTCGCTATGGACGCCTGTGCTAACGGTGGGAAGCCATTATAATCCACAGATAAGAGCACTGCCCCCAGGTCCCCCTCATGGACTAAATACTCACACTGGGAATTAATCAAATGAAGTTAATTAATTCTGACAATTTCAGAATAAGCAGAGACCCTCAGGCCTGACCTTGTCCCTTTCCATACATAACTTATTATTTATACAAGAAACATTGTGACTCTCACTCCAAACTAATTTTCTCATCAGCCATGATTAATTAACCAAACAAACATTGTTTTTGTATGCAGAGTGTTTAATACCTACAAGGCCAGAGGTAAATTAATTTATTTATACATTTAACTCAGGTAGTCAATTCCATTGGCTTCAGATGTGCAGTGAAATTTTGCTCTTTTGAAAGGTAATTAAGGGGCTGAAAAAACAAAAAACTCTTAGGAAGAATCATCTTCAAAACTATAAAAAATATGATTCCCCATAAAACATCTTGTTGTTATGCAAGCTAACTGTATTGAAATCACATTTAATAAAATCAAGAATATTATTGTCCAACAGGAACACAGTCCACCATGAGGGACAGCCTTTGCCGCAGAACATGTTTGGCAGCCGCAGTGTCCTGGATCAGGTTGTGCCCCTGACTATTTTAAGTTCATTACCTAATTGTGACAAGTGTGGTCTCCCTCCATGATCACTCAGAAACACCTGCCCCACAGAATTTACTGGACAGGATTAGCACTCCAGCCCTTACCGGATGAGGTACCTCACTGCAGCATCAAACTGCAGAAACATAACCTCCCTTCGGAGGAGGAGGGCCTGGGACACCCGGGTGGGGTCTTGGGGGCTCTGGAGGCTGTCAATCATATTCTGCAGCTCTTGAAGCTCAGACGCTAGAAGACAGACAACATTTTAGTTAGACGGTGTGAAATACAGGCTACCCTAGCTGCCCTATGAACCATCATTTCACCTCCAAAGCTAACTTTTTACCTAAATTGACTTCCCTTTCTTTGAGAGTATACTAATTATGTTTTGCAAGATCAGCAAAGCCTTATGTTCTAGAACCTGAAGTCTGATTTGTCTTTCCTTCCTTCCTTCCTCAGGAATGTAATAACTTGCTTTGCTTTTCAGCAGACTAAGAACATACTGTTGAAAGAAAGTTTCAAAATTTACAAGGCTACAGACTTCACATAGCTTGAAAAAGAGAAAGTACAAGAAACAGGAAAGTATAGGCCTCAGGAGATCTATTGGGGGTTTGAAATTTTTATAGATCATAAACCAGCACTCATTTCACATAGCCATGCCATCGAAATCAGCCTTGTCACTGACTCATCCTGTCAATGGCTCATGAATTAAAAAAGACTCGACTATCTAAGGCAAGTATAAATACATACATACATACATACATACATACATACATGTATACATACACATACACATATCCTTCTAGGAGATTCTAGATTTTAGGAGTAGGTGTGAGAGATTCTCAATTGGCTTATTTCTTGGACCCTTATTGCAAAAGCCCACTGCATATAAACAGATTTATATGTGTTTTGAATGGAAATTTAAGTAAGTGCTCTTGGAGCACTCAATACTTGCTTGAGTCTAGATGGTTGTACTAGCGTCTCTATTATTGATTCAGGAAATGAGTTGTTCAAAATGGGAGAGTTACAGCAAGGAAACGAGCCCTTAGGGAGCACTGGTGAGGCGGGTAGGTGGGCCTCACTTCCAGGACCCCTAGATTGTCAGCTGATTGGTCATGCTCATTAACTCCCTGCAAGGAGGGTGATAGTTTTCTACTTGAGAGGACATCCCTGCTATGGGACAAGAAGGACTGTGGAAGTTGGTCACTGGGCCTGTATGTAGCCCAAGGCAGAAGTAAGATAGCAGACCCATGAGGCATTTCCAGAGGTACTCGATATCAACAGCTTGTCCCGACTTGAGCAGCCTTGCACCGTATCTGGCCTGGGTACTGGATCTCTTCCCATATTTCTGGCGTGGAAAGAAGGGAAAATGAAGGGGAAATGAAGGAGCAAGGACACCATCCACGAGAGTCTGATCAGGGCAGAACCAGGTCTGAGAATGGTTGTTAACGTGTACTTGCAATATACTCTTTTGGCTTTAGGAAAAGATGAGCAGTCCAGATTTCATATCCATTTGATGTCTTACAACAGAAAAGTGTTTCTGGAGTGTTTTTCTAGCCACAAAAGAATTGAGGCCAATTGTCAGAATTTTTATGACTCCTATAAATCTGATGGTCATATTGGGCTGAAAAGAAACTTTCACCAGAAGAGGAGTCACAGAGCAAATTGAACAAGGACTTTAAGAACTTTGTGGTGGACAGGAGGAGGGGTAGTCAGTGAGCCTTATTCGCTCAAGGTCTAGTGTGCTTGGTCTATGAACAATACACTCTGTCAGGCGACAAGGCAGCAATCAGGGGAAAGGTTTATATGCAATGACAATGCAAAAAGAATACAGAGTTTGCACATATCTTGTGATTAAAGCCCTGTGAAATGTATTAGGGCAAGGGCTAGAAGGAAGTAAAAATAGATAAAAATATTTCACTTGTTAGAATGGTTGGATTACAGGTGATTTTTCTTTTCATTAGTTCCATTATTGTTTATATAATGCTGTATTTGCACATTTGAACAATCACTTCACAGCAAAATTGAAGTACATATCGTTAAAATGCAGACATGAAGGTGGGGCCTACCCTTTCCTTGCTTTGTACTTACTCATAATACTCCTCGGTCAGGCCTCCCGCCCTTGCGGGGTCACACTGCCCAGTGGAAGGGGAGGTGGTGGGCACAGGCAGGGAAGGCAGCCTGTCTGTGAGGATGGTTGCCATGTGGCTGTGGTGGGGGTGCTGGGGGCAGACCCTGCACCAGGCAACACCAGGAAACAAACTGGCCTTTTCTTGGGCCTTTCCCCATGAGGCTTCCGTTTGGGAAATCAGACAGAGAGAGAGGAATCACAGGGGGCCCTGCCTCCGTGTGAATCCTCAAAGCTGGTACATTTTGGTCCTGAAACCCTACGCTCAGTGGGTCGTATCAGGTTTGAACTGCCCTCCTAATCCTTTACAGGGAAATCACAGTGCAAATGCCCACATTCTAATTACATCCCCTGCTTCCCCCAGGTTGTTGCTGGCTTTCAGGAAAGGAGAGGGTTTGACAGCATCCACGGTGTCTAAGAGCTGCTTCCTCAGTCAAGCAGGAGGAGTACAGCCAAAATTGGAAGTGACTCTTTAGAAAATATGTTAAAGCATATAAAAATCATTTTATCTAATTCCCAACAGCTCTGAAATGGCTAAAAGGAGTTGGGTGGGTACATGAACAGACCCAGCTCATCTTTTCACCTTCATTCTCCTTGCCGCCTCTGGGAAGCAGGCCAGGGACTGAGCAGCCTAGCCTTTTTCAAAAGATGATTATCTCGGACGGGGATTATTTTTTTAGTTCTGTTTTCTCTTTACCTATTTTCAGCAAAGCAGAGTATGCAAACCTTTGCACATTCTCCCTGCAGCACAGACGTTCTTACTGGCAACATGACAAGGTATGTGTCTCTAATTGCACACCTTGCACAGCCTGGGCCACGTATTTCAGTGGTTTCCGGTCCATAAGCCTATAAATAGTAAGAAACCAATTTCCTTCATCCTGAATTCTAGGTCCGCAACAATTGGGCCTCATTTGCCACTATCTCTCAGTGTCCCACTGGTGGGTTCCTTATTCTCTGGACTGGTCACGTGCAGTTCTGCCTGTTACCTTTGCCAGTATCCTGTTCTTGTCCTACCAGGACCATCCCTATTGTCCTCCATCGATTCAAGGGAAGGTAAGTCCCCCCAGATCACCTTCTGTGTGGGCTTTTCCCTCCCAGGGGCTATAGGACTTCCTGTGCAGCGACTTCTTCTGGAAACCTGGCTCTGCTCTATCTCGGCTTCTATATCTCATCTCCATATAACACTTGTCTCCCTGTCTCCCTTTCCTGGCCCCACCTCCTTTCTCCTGTCCTTTACCTAAAGCCCAGCCCCACACCCTCCCAATATCAGCTCCCCTGAGAGCATCTTAGTTTATTTCCTAAGTAAACCCCTTTTACAACAGTGCCCAAATAGCAAAAAGGAAAGGATTTAAGAGTGCTTTGGAACTTCTGTAATCTCCTGATGAAGACTTGCTAGTAGTTCTGAAAGCTCATTGGTCTGCAACAATTCTGTGCTTTCTGCTGAGGCAGCATCAACCCTTTCTTTATGCTGCCTCTCCTCAGATACAGGCATCAATCTTCTTCCCAGATCACCACTCATACCTTCCCTGCATCTCCCATCTGAATGTTCACTGTTCGTTACCACAATGCAAATCTACTGGCAAACAAGTCAGAGTCTCCCACAAACATTTCCTTGATGCACTGGCCAGAGAGGAATAGATTCAGTTCTGTCGCATTTGGTTTAAGACTGGTAGGTTTAAATAGGCACATCACCTCATTTTTTGGCTCTTCATATCCTTGAAAATCGTTTACTGTGTCATAATATATTGCTGTTAGTTGATTAATACTTACATGACTAACGACATAATTTGGATGGGAGTCAAATTATTAAAATAATAAGATCAGTTTCCCTGCTTCTGATAATCCCAGCTTCCTAAGCACTTCAGTGTCCTTAATTTACCTCATGCATTGATCTGAGAACTTGCGCTGAGTTGAGTTCATAGATTAGCACTGGGCAGATGAAACTAAAGCTTCAGATGTTCTTACTAACAGGACCACTGGGGCACTGTTAGCCAACCGAGGGCTAGCTTCAAGCTCCTTGGTGGTGAATGCACAGCCCTGACCTTGCCACATTAGTACACAAAGGCCAGGAGAGGAAGGGACTGAAAGCAAACTACTGTTCAATGGGGACTTGTACCTCCTTCTAGAATATTCAGAGTTTAATCCACAGAACATCTCTATGAGACAGACATTGCCACCCTTGTTTCATAGATAGATAAAGAGAGACCCAGAGAGGAAAGTGCCCAGCTTCTGGTAAAACAAGTGACAGAGCCAGGGTAAAAACCCAGGCCCCCCAGCTTCTGACGAGACATATTTTTCTGTTTAACCTGTAAATGTGGAACCAATCCGTTTGGAGACAGCATATAATGGGACTTTCCCTTTGACCTTCTGTCATTTGTGAGGAAATATTTTAGTCCTGTCTTTCCAAGTAATAAGAGCTTCATAGTAATTAACTAGATGCAAGAAGCCCTTTCACAATGTATATGTATATCAAATCATCACGATGTTCACTTTAAATATCTTATAATTTGATTTGTCAATTATAACTCAATAAAGCCAAAAAAAAAGCTTCACAGAAATTGAACTGAGTATTGAAGGTGATTTTAATCACCTTTAATCACTTACCAATCTCCCCAGTTCCTCCCCAGTTACCTCTCAGAGGGTTAGGACTTAGAGGAAATTCAAAACATGCTGGACAGTTTCCAAGTTTGGCAAAACTGAAAAGGTAGGCCACAATGTCATGGAGAGAGGCTATCAGCTGTAGAGTCAGCTTTAAGGCTCTAAAAGCTGCCTGTGGGTAAAAGCAATACAAGAGAATAAATTTCAGGAAGTTTCTAAGGGGCATATAAAATATATAAGCGTTGATTAGGGATAATATCTTTAAACAAGAATATTTAGATAAACATTTTCACAGTATAATAAAGGATAATAATTACAGGATAATGTCTGGAAAAAAGAATAAGCATTTTCATGAACCAAGGCTATATCTGTCTTTGGATAACTCCTGTGGAGGGGGCAAGGTTAAAAGCAATGTGTATCTCTTTGTTTAAAGCCATTGGTAGCCATAAACATATCAAAACATTTTTATATGACCAACCATCAATGAATTACACGGGTCACAAATAAATTCCTAGCAGGATTCACATTCAGACAACATTGCCCTGAGGGAATACCTGTAAGCAAAACATAAATATTTATCAACATAGTTTAAACCCATGACTAAAAATCAAACAATGGATCTTAAATATCAATATTCAGTAAAGGAAGAATGAAACACTATGATTAACTGCAGAAGGTAGTATTTTTACATTAAAGAAAAAACCCTAAAAATTCTTCAATGAAATAAAGGGTAGTTCTATTTTTAATTTTTTTAAACATTTTTTATTGATTTATAATCATTTTACAATGTTGTGTCAAATTCGTGTAGAGCACAATTTTTCATATTTTTAATTTTTTGAGGAATCTGCACACTGTTTTCCATAATGGTTGCAACAATTTACATTCCCATCAACAGTGCACGAGAGTTCCCTTTTCTCCTCAACCTCACCAGCACTTGTCTCATCTTTTTTTAGAACAGTCATCCTAAGGGGTGTGAGGTGGTAGCTCATCAACATTTTGATTTGCATTTCCTTGATGATTAGTGACATTGAGTACCTTTTCATTTATGTGTTGGTCATTGGTATATCTCCTTAGGAAAAATGTCTATTCAGGTCCTTTACTCATTTTAAAATCAAAGTATTGGGTTTTTTTTTAATTTTTCCTTTGTGTTTAGTTTGTTTGGTTTGGTTTTGGCTTTGCTACTGAGTTATATGAGTTCCTAACATATCTGAGGTATTGCTACCCTTTATCAGATATGTAGTTTGCAAATATTTTCTCCCATTATGTAGGTTGCCTTCTCCTTTTGTTGATTATTTTCTTTGTTATACAGAAGCTTTTTAATTTGATATTGTCCCATTTGGTTATTTTTGCTTTTGTTGCTTGTGCTTTTGGTTGATATCCAAAAAATCATTGCCAAGACAGGAGTCAGAGTTTTTTCCCTGGTTTCCTCTAAGAGTTCATAGTTTCCAGTCTTATATTAAGTTTTTAATCTATTTCAAAATCATTTTTGTGAGTGGTGTAAGATAGGGATCCAGTTTCATTCTTTTGTATATATACCTAGCATATGATCCAGCAATCCTACTTCTGAGTATATACCCAAAGGACATAAAATCAGTATATCAAGGAAATTATCTGCACTTCCATGTTCACTGCAGCATTACAATAGGCAAGATATGGAAACAACCTAAGTGTCCAGTAGATGGGTAAATGTATAAATGTCCCTCTCTCTCTCTCTCTCTCACACACACACAGAGGAATATTATTCAGACATAAAAAAGAAGGAAACCTTGCCATTGACAACAACATGGGTAAGCCTGGATGACATTATGCTAAGTGAAATAAGCCAGACAAACCGTGTGATCTTCCTCAAATGTGGAATCGAAAAAAAAAAAGGCAAACTTATAGAAAGGTGGTTACCAGAAGATGGGGGAAATGGGGTAATGTTGACCAAAGGGTACAAACTTTATAAGATAAATAAGTCCTGAAGCTCTAATGTACAGCATGGTGACTATAGTTTATTTTTTGTTTTTGTTTTTGTTTTTTGAGGGGAGGGAAGTAATTAGGTTTATTTATTTATTTATTTTTGGAGGAGGTACTGGGGATTGAACCCAGGACCTTGTGCATGCTAAACTAAGCATGTGCTCTACCCACTGAGCTATACCCTACCCGCCTGGTGACTGTAGTTAATAACACTGTATTGTATACTTGAAATTTGCTACGGAAGTTAGATGAGCATTCTCACCACCAAAAAAAAAAAAGGTAACTATGTGAGGTGATGAATGTATTAATTAACTATGGTAATCATTTCACAATGTATATCAAATCATCATGCTGTACACTCTAAATACATACAATTTTATTTGCTAATTGCACTTCAATAAAGCTGGAAGGAAGAAAAAAAAAGAAAGGGTGAGAAACCTAAGTTGCTAAACAGGTTTTCACTTACAAAGGAAAATCAGAATGTTCCCACATTGCCATTTTCAACATTGCACTTTATTTAGCTAATACTTGAATGGTTCATGTATTTCTATATCTACTCTTTTTTTATGATTACCCTCTCTCAGTAAATGAGGTACTTAGAGGAGCCCCGCAAAAAAAGAACCAGCTAATTACTGTGATTAAATGTGATCTCAGCCTCTCCTTAGCTTCAGTACATCAGGGTGGGGTTTTCTTAAAGGGTTGGGGAGGAAACTCAGGATTAATAAGGGATGTCGGAAGCTCCAATTAGTGTTCAGTAATTACCAGGGAGAAGTAGAACCATGAAATAATGAGGCATAAGGGAAATGATGATAAAGCCGGCAAAACTATGAGGAGCTGTGAGATTTCAGTTATTAGATGTTCCTGAAAACAAACATACAAACAAATAAACAAACAAAACAAAGAAGAGATACTCTCTGAAACTGATATGTTTCACCATGAGACATAAAAACAGCCAGTTTCCAGGCTGGCACACGTAAAAAATACACACCTTTTCTGGCAGAGTTTTGAACATAACCAGCACTTCAGAAGGATGGGGTATGAACCATAAATTGAGGAAGATTTTTCCATCAGCAGACAGCAAACATCGTGGCCGGGGCTGAAAACTCCTGCGGCATGAGAAGAAAGCTTGGGTGGCACAGATCTCTCTGTGTAAAAGAGGTGTCCAGGTGTGAACTATTTATACCGCGGCCCTCCAGCTGCAGTGCCAGAGTCCAGGGTGTGGTGACACCCAGCGTCTCAGCTGCGGGGCAGCGGGCCTCCTTTCCAGGCCGCTCACAAGTGGCCACGGTTATAAATAGCTCAGCTGGAGAAGAGCAGTTGGGCTGGTTTTAGTCTCACTGTCTTGGGAGGAAGGCGTGGGCATAGAGGGAGGGAAAGGTGTGGTAAGGAAGGAAGGGGAGGGCATGAATGAAGTGCCGGCATCATACTGGGGGTGACATTTTCTCACTCAATTCTTGAGACAATCTTTTGATTGTTCTTCCTGTTCTGCAGATGAGGAAACTGAGGCCCTATGAGGTTACATAGATGTTGCCGACCCAGTTCCTAAGAAATGAAGTAGAGATTTAAGTGCAGGTCTGTCCAGTTCTAGAATCCAGGCTCTACAGACCAGCCTCTATTTTCCTTTCCTCTCCACCAAGCCTCCTGCCAGGTTCTCCAGACTCTGGCCCTCTTTCCTTCTTTCTCCTTCTCTTTTAAAATTTTTTATTTTAAAATTTTTTTGTAAGTATAGTCATTACAATGTGTCAATTTCTGGTGTATAGTGTAATGTCCCAGTAACGTATGTATGTATGTATGTGTATATATATATACACACACACATATATTTGTTTTCATATTCTTTTTCATTAAAGGTTATTACAAGATATTGAATATAGTTCCCTGTGCTCTACAGAAGAAATTTGTTTTTATCTATTTTTATATATAGTAGATCTCCTTTCCTTTTATTTTTATTTTTAATGGAGGTACTGAGAATTGAACCCAGGACCTCATGCACACTAAGCACGTGCTCTACCACTGAGCTATATCTTCCCCCTCTTTCTCCTTTCTTTCTCCTCCAAATACTTTATCATTTCTTAGGCAGCAGCATCGCTATCTCTGTTGCAGGTTTATATACAAACACATAATCCATGTATGTCTGGTTTAAGGATTCACACAAGCCCAGGTACCCACTCCCTGGCCTGGGAAATAGAATGTCACCAGGTCCTTTGAAGCCTCATGTGCATCTCCCTGGTGGCCCCCAGAGGAACCATCATTCTGAATTTCGCACTAATCAATGTTAGCTTTCCTTTGGAGTTTTACCACAAATGGATACACCATTAAAAGAATATTTTGTTGGTTTACCTGTTTTTGACCTTCATACACATGGAAGCTCTTTCTACTACATGTGTCCCTGGAGGGAGGTGGCAGCCTGATCTGGTTTCTACATCATCTATAGAGGCAGCCCACTGTAACAGAGGGTGGAGGTTGCAGGACTGTTTCCTACTTGAATGGATTCAGTGCCTTCGAGTCTAATTAACTGTGTTCATCTACTGTGGAAAATGGTGATATATTCAGTTAATAGGTGTGGAATCCGGCATCAGAGGACTAGATCTGGGGACCAACTTCCATCATCCACAGCTGTGTGCTGTGTAGGCACAGACGAATTATCCTCTTTGAGTCTTTTCATCCATAAAATGGGAATAATTATTCCTAACTAACAAGACTGGTGTTAGGAATAATTTTTAAAAAGAGTACCCAGCATGTGAAAAGCGTTTTATACATTGTGAGGTGCTATATAAAGTTTGGTATTATGATGCTAAGGTGTGGGTGCCTGGAAAGTGGCCGGGGGTGGGGGCCAAGGCATGCATGTGGTCCAGTCGAGAGGCATGCAGGAACTCTCAGAGTCATTCGTTAAGAAGCGGGGACCTGAACAGGCTAATGAGGAGATGTCCTAGAACTGAGAGTTATGAGGGAAGCCAGAGACTAGTGCCACCTCACACCTGTCTCGGTTATGCTAGATCAGGCAGGCTTGATGAGACACACAAACAGCAGAAGGAGGTGTGCAGCAGAAGTGGAGCTCCCTCCCCACCACCATCCCCAGCCCAGGGCACCCCAGGTCCACTCAGCTCTGCTCTTCCCGCTCTCCTCCTGGTCCTGGGCAATTGTGTTCATTCTCTGGCTGCAATTGCCATCCATGCCTCCTGAATTCAAATCCATATGCCTGGTCCCTCCACAGCTCCATCCTGGCTGGCAGTGCCTCAGACCACCTCACTTAAAAAAGGCAAGAACTGAACTCTTCATTCCCTCCCACCCCAATCCTGGGCTTCCTCCTGTGTGAAAAGAACCACAACCCCCAAGTCCTCAAAACCAGATACTGGGGAGTCATTTTTAAATGCTTCCTTCTTCACTCCTCAGGTCCTACTGATCCCATTACTCTCTGGTACCCAGTTTCCATTCCCACTCCGTTGTGTATATATAGCAAGGACTCTCAATGGGAGGGTCTCACTGTCTAGGGGGCATTTTTGGAAATCATAGGGGAATTTTTTTGACTGTCATTATTTCTGAGTCCTTAGGAGAGATTCAGATGACCTTTTCTACTTCTTAAAGTAAAATGTAATTCATTTTAACTGAGGGCTGACTGTTTTCCATATCAAACATTCTGAATATGAAACCTAAAATTACTAAAACTCTACTTGAAGTCAATCAATGGCCTTAAACCTACCTGTTTCAAGTCTCAGGGTTTTAATTAGGTAATTTGGAGCTCAGGAACAAAGTATGGTGTTAGTTTGGAGAACTTCCCTTTTTTCAGCAACTGCAAAGTCAGACTATGCTGTCCTGGACCAGATCAAAACCAGCTTAAACCCATCTTATCTCTATTATTCAGTTTACAGTGTTTGAAGGTGCCCTGAGGAAACTTTGAATATCAACAGTAAAACATCACAAGGCCCACATCTGAGCTCATGGGCTTATGGGCCATGGGGCTGGCGCGCAGCAGTGTGGCTGAATCCAGTCTTGGCCTCTGAAAAGCATGTGTCTCTGGAGCCACAGGGCTGTCTACCTCTACCTCTTCGTTCTCATCTGCTATTTCCTGCCATTTCCCTCCTGCCTGCAGCAGGCAGCCCTCTGCAGAGGAGGGGCAGAGAGGGCAGCAGAAAGCTTTAAGGTGCTTAGTGCAAAGCGAAGCCTGGTTCTCAGTCCCACAAGGATACCTCCCACCTTGGGATGGCCCATCAGCTCCGCAGCCTGACAATTTCTTGACCTGCTTAGTATCACCTTTCTATACCTCCGTTTCCCTTCACCACCCACTCTCAGCCACACTCCAGACCTTGTCATCACCTGGAATCATATTACCTCCAAAGACTTACACTTGAATATCCTACTTTCTCAGCTCAACATTTTTTTCTCCCAGTTTTCTCATGCATTCACTCCCACAAAACCTCCTTCATCCCCACAAAATATGCTCCTTGATGTCCTTGAGCCCTCAGGCCTCCCCTTCCATCTGTCACTCCCCTTCTGACCCCCTCCCCCCACCATGCTGTGTCTCACAGCCCAACACGCGAACTACTCTCCCACCAGCACCTGCAATTCTCTGCTTCTTTGTACTCATGACCCACCTGTCTAGCAAAACCCCAACTCTGGATTCCTCCAGCTCGTCCGCTTTCTGCTTCTAGTCACACCCTGCTGAGCGCAGCTGGAGGATATCACACTGCTAATTATACTGAGGCAACAACAAGTAAATGGTTTCCAGCCTGAGCTGTGTCAGACCTGGGATAATCGGTTTTCTTTCCTTTGATCAGCTCTCATGCCCATTTCCTTTTTCAATAATTCCAAGTCTTACTTAAGCTTCATACCAAATTCCTAGCAGCAGATGATGACATGGTCTGTTATTTCATAACAGTGAATTAAAGGGGCTGAAACTGCCTCCACGTCCTGTGGGCCCATTCCCCCCTCCCCATCCTCCCTTTCAAAGCAAGGTCAAAGGCAGAGGTGCACACCTGGGACATGAAATGGAGACAGCCTCTGTCCTCAAGGATCTTACATTCCAGGGGCAGATGAACATGTGAGTCTGACGCTGTGATAGAAGCAGGAGGAACAGAAGTAGGTGAAAGTGCAGAGAACATCCAGAATAAAAAGTGCCTGAGACTTGTCCTGAGACACACGGAAGAAACTCACAGCTGAGGCGTCCGAGCTGTGCTTCACTATTTCCGTCTCCACATCTCTTCCTCTTAATGGCATTACCATCCTTTCTTCCCCATTAAAAAAATGTGATAAAACACACATAACATAAATTTACCATTTTAATTGTTTTTAGGTGCACAGTTCAGTGGTGTTAAGTACATTCACACTGTTGTGCAACCATCACCATCATCTCTCTCCAGAAAAGAATTTTTTCCCATCTTCCAAAACTGAAAAGCTATACCCATTAAACAACAGTGACACTGCCATCTTTTTATCCACCCAACTGAGAGACTTTGGGTGATTTCCTAGATTCCTCTTCCTTCTCCTTGCTCAGCTCTGCATGGAATCCAGCTTCTGGACTGGCTGATTTCACCCACTCACTATCCCCTGTCTCTACAGTTTTCGTAAGTTCCTAAATGGCCACTGACCATCATCTTGCTCCCTTTCTCCCTGCTTGTTGAAGGACCAACACCAGCCTTCTGGATCTTACCCGTCACTCTGCACACCTGTTTCCCCCAGCTCATCCTCACATACCAGGGAAAGGAGACACTGGGAAGTCCATGTGCTGTCTCACATCTCTGTGTCACTGCACATGTGGGTCTCCCAGCTTGAACTGAATTTCTTCTCCTTGTCCAACTGAAACACTCACTAGTCATCCTTCAAGACCCAGGTCAAGGGTCCCCTCTTCTTTGAAGCCTGCCCAGCACCCCATCCCCACTTCCCTCATCCTTCAGATAACATTGAATGTTTCCTGGTGGGGGCTTTTATTATACTTTTATTTTATTCTTTATCACAATGTACTGTAATTGCCTATTACCCCTTGCTGGAAGAACCATGTCTAATTCATTGCTGTGCAGTGCTTGGCACCAAGACTGCCATGTACTGCGGTTCAGTTTGTTCCCTGAGGCAGCCAGCAATGGCTGAGATCCAGCCTATATTTGCCAAGCTCTGCACCCTGGCATGGGGTTACATCTGCCCAAAGGACATGGTACCTTCTTCTACTCTGCATCAAGCAGCAGTACTGGAGAGTGGTGGCTCTGCCTGTCATACCATAAAGGCTTAATAAAGGCTTGAATAAGGTTAGTGCCCTTTCTCTGTCCATTCTTTGCTCCTCTACCAGCCAACACCACTGGTCTTAGGAGTGTGGCTGAGTGTCATCATAGTCTCCAGACTCCAGGTTCCTCTAGAGCCATAAGGGGACAGATCCCTCAAGAGGCATCCTTTGGAGGAGAGCTTCCTTTGGCTCCTCTTCTTTTTAGATTCTGGTTCACAGGCAGGGCTTCTGTGCTAAAACTAAGCAGTATGTTACAGCCTTTTAAGGAAGAAGTATTTTCTTAGAATTTTAAGCCTACAGAATTTATGGAGGTCTTCTAGTCAAGGGGATGGCAAACACAACCTCCTTTCCCCTTTCTCCTATTCCATGATCATGATAGACACTGCCAATCACTCACAACAATCTCACAAGCTTGGGATGTCTCAGTCTTCAGCAGGACACCAACATGTAGTTGGAATTGACATTTAAAGTAAAATTTATTTCTTATCCTCCATCTAACCCAACTCCTTATTTTATGAATATGATGAGGACCTCTGTCTTCCATGACCCTCATTCTTCAGCTCTGTCCTCTGTCCCTTCATCTCTCATGAACCTTGGCCTGAGATGACTCCCATTGATCATTTCATGAACATTCTTAAATGGCCCCTTTCTAGCAAGTCTTTCCTCAAGAGTCCCATTCCTTGGAATAAAGCTCTAGACACTAAGCACTTATCATGTTTAACTTTAAAGAGATGCTTCAATTTCCTTACTCTTTAGATGAAGAGTTGAAGTCTGGAGAATGAGGAAAAGTGATTTGCCTAAGACCTCAGAACAACTCATGACTGAGCTGGGTCAAATCCAAATATTCTAACTCCCAGGTTATGACTCTCTGCATGATATCCTCTCATGGATGAGGTTCAATTTTTATTGATACTCTAGGCATGGATTTGTGGACTTTGGAGTTAGAAAGAATCATGTTCAGTATCTTTTCCAAACTTCCACAGAACACAGAAGTTCCTTTCTCTATACTCCACTTTATGTAAGTGTATTAAAAGGGATATGCTAAAAATTGAGAGAGTTTAGGAAGCAGGAGACAGGTGTAGCGGAGAACCTCTGAATCTGTGTGACTTGGGCTCTGGGTGGGCACTCACTTTGCTCATACCTTCCTGGCCCAAAGCTCTGTCCTGAAATGATCACACATTAACGGGCCAGATGATTGAGGGCTCTAGTCTCTCTCCCTTAAAAGACTGTTTCCCCTTAATCTTTAGGGAACACATGTCATTCACAAAAATCACTAAAGGAATAGACCAAGACCTGCACACTGGAGAAATTTTTTTCCCTATTTCCTGGTTTTCTTATTTGGTTGCTGCAAATAAAACAGATCAGAATCCAAATAGACTTCCTGAATCCATTTTATCCTAAATACAAATGTAGCAAACCTGTGGATAGACTTCTATAAACTATTTTAAAATTTGATCCCAAATGTAGATTGGGCTTATAAATGGTTTACATGGCTAGTGGGTGGATGAGAGAATGGAACTAAGAAATCTCAGAGGATTATCCTGTGATGTTTCATAGGAGAGAAAGACGTGCTTCATTCCATTGGGCAACAGATGTCCAGTCAAAACTTTCAGCAAAATAGTCAGTCTACTGAGGCATCTTTGCCCTACTCCTCTAAGGCATTCTTCCATTAGGTAAATCCTGAAGTCTACTCAAGGGAATGTACCCAAGAGACGAAACATTGGTAAGCCACACACTAGGCACCTTATAAGTATTAAGGTTGGACTGGCCACTATTTTGATATCCAGCTATCAGATGGCCAAGGGCAGATGGACTCAACTTCTTTCATTCTCTAGCATTCTCTAACCTATTCTATTATCCCCATTGCCTTGGTGAACTCCAATCTACCTGTCACCTCCTCTGTGAATCTCTCTCTGAGGCCTTGGGCTAGAGTCAAACATGTTCTCTTTTGTGTCCTCACAGGATTTTTCACATAACTCTAACATGTTATCTTTGAAATCTTTGAAGTTGCTTGTTTGTGTATAGAGCTTTCCCTCACTAGGTTGAATTTATTGCCAGAGTCAGTGACTCACATTTGTAACTCCAGCATACAAGCAAAGTGCCTAGTACTAAGTAAGCACTGAACAAATAATGGTTGAACAATTATGAATGGTAAGTGAGTGAAAGAACGGTCTGATACAAATGGTCTTCCAATTGCATTCCATCTCTCTGTCCTATGACCATATTTTTAAGTATTACTGTTACTCAGCATTAAGCCCCGTGCTGTAAGGGAAAAACAGTAAGGAGGGAGGTAAGCTCACCCTACAGGGTATTTTGCTCCCTCTTGGAGGCTGAGTAACCGTAACATCCCTTTCTTTTTCTTAAAGGAAACGTGGTCAGTTATAGAACAAGTATGACAAGTCCTCCATCCAGGTGAGTGAACTCTAGGTAGGCTGAATTAAGAGCATTTGGATACATATGTACATGTATGACTGAAACATTATGCTGTACACCAGAAATTGACACAACATTGTAAACTGACTATACTTCAGTAAAAAAAAAAGAACTTTTGGATAAGGCACAATAAGGAAGTATGGAAGCAGCTCCACTTTCATCACTTAATATCACTCTACATACATATTTTTTCTCTATCAGAGAAGTACAGAAGGACACTGATTTATCCAAGGCACTGGAGTATCAGTGTATATCAGGAGTATTTTGTTTTCTTTTCTTGAATATTTCTTCTACTTTATTGAGTAAAATATCTAAAGCCAGAACAGTTCAAGATAAAGTTTACTTATTTGTTTGCTTATTTTAGATCCTGGCTTATATAAAAGGGTGTGACTGATGAAAATCTCTGGGCACTGCAGGGGAAAACAAAACTGCATAGACTGAAAAAGCAGTCAAACAGCCCATAAACAAAGAACTCTTTCTGGGTTCAAATACAAAGATACTCTTATTCATGGAGTGTCAATTCTTTCTTTTGCCCTTCTGGACCAGAAATTCAAGGTCAAATGCAGTAAAGGGAGCAAGATTTCCATCCCAAACTTAACATGCCTTTCCACTGGGAGGGGTTGGGTATTGGGGGGATGAATAATAAGGTCATACCACACCTAAAGGAAAGAAAGGAAATTCCATACCTGGGGTCAGCCTTGAGGCCCTCCTTGGAGTCCCTCAACCCCTTCTTTTCTTGTGGTTGTCCCAGCATGAAAAAGGTATCCCTGATGGTTGGGAAATGGTTCAGCAGGGCTCTCAGGCTGTTGCAGTATGCCATGATCTGACCACGAAGAGCATAGTGAGACATACGGTGGTTGAACCTGGAAAGTCAGAAGAAGAGATGATGTTCAGAGGTGAATCCAAGTTGTTCTCTCTCTCACAGAAGTTCCAGAATCTACTTCTATGGACACATTTCAAAGAGACTAGAGGACCTCTGTCAGGAAGAAACTTCTGTCTTTGTCAGCTTGCTACTGCCTGAAGGCAGAGGCATGGACCTTTTCCGGGTGCCTCTTACCCTTCACTTCCGATGCTTCTTCCTCTGTGTGTCAGAGGCCCGTTTAGTTTGCTCTCACCCAATAGGACTGTGGCTTATTTAAACATAAACCAGTTGATTCATTGTCTGGATTTCTATCTAATACTGCTATGTGTTGAGTTCAGAGTTAGAAATCAGCATGTGTAGTTCACATATATTCTGTACTTACTTCTGACAATATTCAACTATGACATCTCTCTTGACTTTCCCAATTTCATCCTGTGATAAAAGAGGAAGACAGTTCTCCTGTTAGACAGTTGGCTATAAGAATTCCCCAAGCTCGTACATGTATACAGACTCACAAGCAACTGAAAGCAGGAAACGGCCACACAGCTGAGGTATTCTTTCTGAAGGTCAGCCCGCAGGGAGGCACTCCTCCGCGGGTCTTTCCTACTTCTGCACATCTTGTGAGTATACCAAGAATGCAAGGCCCACTCTTTACCTGAACCATTTCTCACAGTTATGTTTGCAGAGAGCAGTCTGGATGGACGAGGTCATGTCTCCCTCCAGGAAAAAGAAGAGGTTTGCTATAAAATCAGTGGATTCCCAAGCTCAGTGTTACTCAACGGTGACACAAAACTGCGTTACGTACCCCTGGGCTCCTGCATGTTGCCCTCGTGGGACTTGGGAGGCAGAGGGAACTGACACAAGCAGAAGGCTCACGATGCTGGCTCTGCTGTGAGTAATGAAGTTCTCTGTCTCTGACTGAGGAGTCTTGTGCTTTCTGCCAGCATCCTCAGAACAGTAACAGGCTAACTTATTAGCTTAAGTAGGCTAAAATCCCAGACCTTGGCAAAACTGACAGTTATATTGCCTGAGTCCTTTTTAATCAGATAGGCACCGGATATTCCTGAAGGGCAGTTAACGAGCTCATATATTTTTCACTTGGTCAATATTTTTTTGAATATTACAGTAAAAAAAAAGTAATTTAGTATCTCAATTACTTATCAAAAGGGGTCTTTTGCCCCCATCATTGCTCAGCAGTAATCTAGAAGATCTAGCCTCCATCATATCCAATTTGTAGAACTGGATTAGCTAAACTGAAGTCTTTCCCTTTCAGTCACAGGTAGAAACAAAGCCTAGAGATTGTAAATCTTGTTATTTCTTTCCCAAATTACTACATATTAGCCTAATGACTTCCTCATCAAAAAATTAATGAGTAATGAAATGATATCTATAAAGTTAAGCAACACTTTTGACTGACTCAAAGCTTGAATTTTATAATACTTTTCAAAAGATTAGGCTAGTATAAAACCCTTAAATAGAAACATGGCGGTGGTGTCTGAGAAACCAAGATTACAGGTGAGTTAGATGGCAAGAGCCCTCGCTCACCTTGTCTAAGCCCCCTACGCACCTGCGGGTCACTCAGGAGTGGTCTAGTATTTCAGGGCAGGTGCTGAAACTAGTTCTGTTTACAAAGCGACAAAAAAAAATATGGCCTTGGAAAATTGTACATATTTTTTAAACTAGATTGCAATTAGCTTGAATTCCTTCCCTTCTATTTTTGATTGAACACCCCTTTTTCAGTTCTTTGTATTTTCAATGGTTCTATCCAAATAGGCTGAAAGCAACAGATTTGCTCAGATGTAAAAGATGATGAGAGCTTTGGGGAGCCCTTCTTACTACACTCACGAGGTTCCTCGCTCTGTCAGCCGTGGCCTGTTTCCTGAGGAGGAAGGCGTTCAGCATCGTGTCCCGCAGCCCCACCTTTTCTAGTTGAATAGACACGAAAGCTTCTGGAGCCCTGACAAGTGAACAGAGACACCTGAGCCCAAGGCAGGATGTAGGAGGACATAACAAGGAGACCACTCAAGAGCTCTCTGGAGGACAGGAACACCTGAGGCTGCACACGGGACACTGCAGCAAGAGGGAATTTCTCACCGGCTTCAAGCATTTCTCATTGTAATCACTGGGATGCTGATGTGTCACCATCCTGGTTGGGGACCCTTGTGTGCCTGATTCATGCATCAGCAGTCCCTGCTCAGTCCCAAACTTCATAGCCTGGACCAGTGTTTATACTACCCTGTGCCTTTGTGCCTTCCTGGCCTGAAAGGTAGGGGTACCTGGACTGAAGTGGCCTCCTAAGGATCCTTACGACCAGACATATTGATCCTAAATCTTCCATTCTTTGGGAATGTGGAGTAAGGACACTTGAACTCTGGACATGTGTCAGATTAATGGTATCTTGGGGAATAGAGTAGTCTTGCCTGTTATTTTTTTTTCATTCTAAATTTGCCAGAATTAGACTAGAGTGTCATTGATATGCCTCAATAAAATATTGAGTATTCATAATTATTACTGAATACAAACCTCTCTCTTTCTCTGTCATACTAAGAGATCAAGATATAATAGGGCATCTCTGGCTTATAAATATCTGTCTGTAGAGACCGGGCCTCTCTGACAATGTACTATTTTAATATTCTAAGCAAGAAGAAAAGTTTGAATATTTTACACAGAAAAAAGCACCTTCTGTGCTTTTCTGTTTAAAATAGACATGGAAATTTTGGAGATACTCATATTCTTCTTCCTGATGCTCTAAACTCTTTGGAGTTATAAAAAATATAGAGAGAGGGAAGAAGGAGGGGAAGAGGGGAAGAGAAAGAGGAAGGAAGATGGGGAGAAAAGAAGAAAAAAGAGGTTAAAATTAGGAACTGTTGACTCTCCTTCAGAGATTGGAGAATAATAGGAGGGGCTGAACCTTCTCAGTGTTCATACAAGGTCTTCACACAAGGTCTTAAAAACTTAACACATGCTGGTCACTCTGGGAGTTTAGACATCCTTTGGTCGCACAACACTATGCTATTAACAGACTTAAAAGGCAATAGTTTTGTTATTATAAACAACCCCCCACCTCCACTCCCGGGCAGTACCTTTTGGTAGACTGGAATCTTTCTGAAGGATGAGTAAGGGTGTCTGGGACTTTTGGAGTTGGGGCTAACAGCACGTTTTCTATGCCATTCACAATTCTGGAATTTCTTCTTCTGGTTGGACCCACTCCACTATTATTTCTCAGATCTGAACTTATTTCCTAAAATATTTCAAACCAAAGTCAATTAAATTAAATTTGTTGGATTTGTAAGTCCTGTGGTACTGGCTGTAAAATTATCTCACAGCCATAACTGACCCCCAAATACAGGTAAATGGCTAGGTCCACAGCAGGTAGGAGGAAGTAAAAGGGAGAGAAGACAGAGTAGGAGGGAAGGGAAGAGAGATACCACTGTGAATAATGAAGGGGTGAGGCACTAAGTGTGACTATTTCCAGAATACAGCAGAGTTGTCCAAAGTGCTCTGGAAAACAACTCTCCATTCTACCAGGGGGCTGGTTAGAGTGCTTTGCATAGAGTGGCCTCTTAAGAAATATAGCTGATGGACCTCATGGCTGCAAGATCTGAAAAATTGTCTCAGGGTGCCCATTCTGGGGTAGCCTAAGCAAATGGATGTGGGCTGTATACGCTGCCATGCACAATGTAATGATGGAGGAGGGAGCGGTGGAGGGAAGGTGGGGAGAGAGGGGAAGGTAGAAGGGGAAGAGGAAAAGGGAATTCTCTATCTTCCAATGTTCCTTTTGGCCTTTTGGTTATGGAGCTACAGGGCATGATGGATGGAATTCTTTTACATTTTTCTAAAATACTAACTAAAAAAAATATTAAGCCTTCAAAGGAAAGACTATTCTCCTTTGAGTTTTCCATATCTGAATTACTGAAGGAGACATCAGGAAAATGGGGTAAAAGAAAAAATCTTGAGTAAGAAGTCTAAAGTTTGCATTCTGTTTTTCTGAAGACTCTTGGGCTATCCCAATATCCTAGAAATAGTAAAATATACCAGTTCAGAAGACTCAAGAAGTCTTAGAAAGGCTATGAGTGAGCTACTAGGGAAGAAAACAGGCTCTATTGTCAGATCCCAGTGCTGACACTCAGCTGGTGATCTTGGCTCTGTTCCTTAAGCTTTCAGAACCTGTTTTCTTACCTAGAAAAAGGGGATGATATCCTCCATCTCCTGGGGCTGCTGGGAGGATTTCATGAGCCCAGATATTTTCATCCCTTAGCTCACTGCCTGGCCTGGACCAGAGAAGCTACCGAATTGAACGCCTTAGCTCCCTGATTCTCATACCTGCACTCAAGATCTCACAAATGCTAGTCTTTCATTTCTGTTCTCAACTGCTGCTTCTTTTCCAGCCCCTTCCTACAAATATGTTCACATCTATTTTATTCTGAATTTTCCTACCCTCTCCAGCTTCCTCTTTAATTCTGACCCAACTTCTGAAAGAGTTATTACTGACTAAATGTTTGTGTCTTCCCCTAAATTCTTATGTTGAAGCCCTAACCCCACAATGTGATGGTACTGAAGATGGGGACCTTTGGGAGGTAATTAGAGTTAGATGAAGTCATAAGGGTGGGGCCCTAATCAGATAGGGCTGATGTCCTTAAAAGAAGAGGAAGAGACACCAAAACATTCTCTGCCAAGTGAGGTGCACTGAGAATGTGTAAGGAAGAGAGCTCTCATTAGAAGCTGACCATGCTAGCTCTTTGATCTTGGACTTCTAGCCTCCATCACTATGAAAAAATAAGTTTCTGCTGTGTAAACCACTCAGTTGATGATATTTTTTATGGTTGCCCCAGCAGACTAATGCAGAAGCTGTAATTATACCTGCTTCTACATTTGTATCATTCTCTCACTCCTTAGCTCGGGAAGTCTGGCTTTCACTCCAACCCCATTAGAACTGCTCTCTCAGAGTCAGCAATGAACTTTCGAGAATGTCAAATAGCTTCATTTTAATCCCTACTCTTCTAGTTCTTCCCCCTACGTTTAACTCAATCAACTTCTTCCTCCTCTTTCTCTCTCTTCTCCTCTTCCCTCCCTCCCCTAAAAACAATAGCTTTATTGAGATATAATTGACATTCAAGAAATAGCACATATTTAAAGTGTACAATTAAATAAGTGTTGACATATTTATACAACTGTGAAACCATCACTGCTGTCAGAATAATGACCATGGCCATTCCTCTCACCCAGCCCCCTTCCTCAAGCAACTGCTGCTCTGCTTTCTGCAACTATAGATTAGAATGTATTTCCTAAAATTTTATATAAATACAGTCATGCAGGATGTACTCTGTTTTTTGGTCTGGCTTCATCTCTATTGTATATATCAATAATTCATTTCTTTGTATTGCTGAGTAATATTCCATTACATGAATATACCACAATTTGTTTATCCATCCACCTAGTGATGGACATTTGAGTTCTTTCCTGTTCTTGGTTATTTAAAATAAACCTGCTATAAACATTTACCCTTGTCTTTGTATGGAAAGTGCTTTCATTTTGCTTTAATAAATACCTAGGAGTGAAATGTCTGGATCATATGATAAGTACATGTTTAACTTTTTAAGAAACTGCCAAACAGTTTTCCAAGGCAACTGACCATTTGGCATTCCCATCAACAGCATATGAGCATTCCAGATCCTCCACATCCTGCCAAGACTCAGAACAGTCAGTTTAAATTTTAACCATTCTAGGGGGTATACGGTGGTTTCTCACTGGAGTTTTAACTGCATTCTCTAATAACTAATGCTGTTGAATATTATTTTATGTGGTTATTTGCCATCTGTACAACTTTTCAGTGACTCATTTCTTCTTGAAACACTCTCCACCTTTGGCTTTGATAGCAGTGAACAATTTTATTCTCTTTCTCTTTCCTTCCTTCTTCCCTTTCCTCCCTTCCTCTTGTTCCTTTTAATGTCTCCATCATTTATTCCTCCTTATTATATCATCAGACCTCCTTTTATCTTACATTTGTAACAGTATATAAACACAGACACACATTTAGATTACTATATATAGTCACATATTCATATATATAAAAATAACCCTAATGCCTTCCCAACCCCGCTCTGTGTTCCTACCCAGTGACTTTCAACATTTGCTCCCTGGATGGATCTCAGGAAGTGACTTATAAGCCTCTCAATCTCCATTTAAACCAGAAAAACCCCACTTTTATCTGTTTTACCTCTTGGTACTCTTCATAAGATTACATTAAAATAAAAAGATTACATTGAATAAAAGAATCCATATGTCAACTATGCATGAAAACCACAGGTGGGATCAAGCTGGGCCTCTCACTTTTTCCCTAGTACCCTTCTGCCCTTTCATATGCCTATGCCTGAGTATCTGAAAGGTCTTCTCTCTACTTAGAATGATCATATGGTCATCTCTGCCCATTAAAAAACTCATTCTTCAAGTTTTCCCAAATGGCTCCACTCTGTGCTTCCCCTCCTGGTTCCCCAGATGTGACCTCTCTTTTCTTTAAATTCCTTCTATAGCTTGTGAACCTCTTTTATGTCTTGTATTTGAACCACTTATGGGCCTGTCCCCCTTTTATACACCGGATATAAGGTCCTCAGGAATGTGAACCATACTTCAGTATTATCTGATGAGCCTAACTTAAAGTAAGTACTGAATTAAGATTTTGGGAGTTGAATTTTTAAAAATCAATATAACTCACTCTATCCCTATTTTCTACTTCAGTATTTGATTTCTATGGAAATTAGTATTTGGCAATAGAAATGGGGATTGGGTATTCTTGCCATACTCATAAATTAATACTCTCATTAATATGAAGAGTAGAAATAGATAAACAGAGGTAATAAATAAATGTGATAAAGGATAAATGTAGTGAGCTATATAGAATCCATAAGGCTTAAAGAATGTTTAAGATCATCTGGAAAGTTGATTTCCTAAAATTGTATTTAATTTTACACTTAAATTACATTCACCAATATGTACACACAAGAGAGAACTATATAGCTGTTTTAAAAAATGGGAGGGATCTCTATGAACTTATTTGGAGTGATTTCCAGGATATACTGTTACATGAAAAAAACAAAATGCAAAAGAGTATTACATATAGATAAAATCCTAAACCCCTTCATGATAAAATCATCAACCAGCTGGGAATAGAAGCAATGTCCTCAACCTGGTAAAAGTTATCTAAGAAAAACTCATGGCTAACATCATATTTAATGGTGAAAGATTGAAAATTTTCCCTTAAGATCAGGAATAATATCCACTCTCACTATTTCTATTGAACCTGTACTGGAGGATCTAGCTGGGCAATTAGGCAAGAAAAAGTAATAAAGGGCATCCAGAGTGAAATGAAACAAGTAAATCTATCTCTATTTGCAGATGACATAATCTTTTATATAGAAGATCCTAAGGAATACATACATATCCACACAACTAAGCTATTTACAAGTTTAGAAAGGTTGCAAGATACAAGATCAATTGTATTTCTATACACTAGTAATGAACACTGAAAACAGAATTAAGAAAACAATCCATTTATAATAATATAAAAAAGAATAAAATATTTTTGAATTAATTTAACCATAGAAGTACAGGATCTGTACACTGAAAACTATAAAATACTGTTGAAAGAAATTAAAGAAGACCTAAATAAATGAAAAGACATTCCATGTTCATGGATCAGAAGACTTAACATTGTTAAGGTGCAATGGTACTCAAACTGATCTACAGATTCAATGCAATCCCTGCCAAATTCCCAAATGGCTTTTTTTCTTTTTCGCAGAAATTGATAAGGTGACCCTAAAATTTACATAAAAATGGCAATGAACTCAAAATAGCTGAAGAAATCTTGAAAAAGAACAAAGTTGGAGGACTCATACTTCTTAAATTCAAAACTTACCACAGGTCTGCAGTAGTCAAAACATAGTGGTACTGGCATAAAAACAGACATACAGATCAATGGAACAGAGTTGAGGGTCCATAAACACACTGTTACATTAATGGTCAATGGATTTTTGACAAGGGTGCCAGAACAATTCAATGGGGAAAGATGAGTCTTTTTCAATAAATTATACTGAGACAGCTGAATAACTACACTCAAAAGAATAAAGTTGGACCCCCTACCTCACACTGCGTTCAAAAATTAACCAAAAATGGACCACAGACCTGAATGTAAGAGCTAAAACTACAAAATTTTTAGAAGAAAACATAGGAGTAAATCTTCATGACTGTGGATTAAATAATGGTTTCCTAAACATGACACCAAAAAGAACAAGTGACAACAAGTGACTGGTAAATTGGACTCATTAAAATGAAATCTTCTGTTTCAAAGAGCACCATCAAGAAAATGAGAAGACGACCCTCAGAATGGGAAAAAATATTTGCAAATCATACACTGGATAACGAAAGTATATTGGGAATGTGTAATGGACTCTTACAACTCACTAATAAAAAAACAAAAAACCCAATTTTATAAAAGGGCAAATGATTTGAATAGACATTTCTCCAATGAAGACATACAAATAGCTAATAAGCGCATGAAAAGATGCTCAATGTTAGTAATTAGAGAAATACAAATCAAAGCTACAATGAGATATCATTTTGCCCTGACTAGGATGGCTTTAAAAAAAAAGCCAATAACAAGTGTTAGCAAAACTCAAAACATATATGTCCTTACAAAAACCTGTACATGAAAGTTCATAGCTGCATTACTCATAATAGTCAAAAAGTAAAAACAACCCAGTATCTGTCAACTGATGAATGGATAAACAAAATGTGGTACACCCATATAACAGAATATTATTCATCATTAAAAAAATGAAGTATGGGTACATGCTACAACATAGATGAAACTTAAAAACACTATGCTAAGTGAAAAAATTCAGACATAAAAGGTTGTATATTGTATGATTCCACTCATATGAAATGTCCAGAATAGGCAATCTATAGAGACAGAAAGTGAATTACTAGTTGAGGGAAATGGGGGTTGGAGAGTGACTGGTAATGAGTACAAGATTTATTCTGAGAATGAGGAAAACGTTCTGGAATTAGACAGTGGTGATAATTGCATGATCTTATGAATTACACACTTTAAAGGAGTGAATTTTATGTTATGTGAATTACATCTTAATAATAACTAAAAAAATCTAGGGATAAAAGAGGATATACTTTGGGTTACCTTTTGTGGAAAAAAAGAAGGGCAAATGTATCTGCTTACTTTTGCAAAAAGAAATACAGGAAGGATAAAACAAAAACAATGGAACCATTTATCTACAAAGGGTAGGGGTGGAGGAACAGGACATTTTCTGCTGGTTGATTCTAGCTAGTCAATATTACAGAGTCATGCACAAAGGAAAAATGACCAGCAAATAGCTGAAAACTTAAGAGACCCAGTAAGGACTCGATCATGTTTTGGTTCTTATAGGGAAAGAAGGAAGGGAGGGAAAGAGGGAAGGAAGAAGAGGGAAAAAGGGAAAGAGAGAGAAAGAGAAGGAGGGAAAAGTGGAGGATGGGGGGAAGGAAAGGAGGGTGGAGGGAGACAGGGAAGGTGGGAAGTAGGGAGGGGGAGGGAGGGAAGGATGTGGCAGCCCGACAGAAGCTGGCGATAGTGGTATCATGCCTCAGGCTTCTCTTATCTTGTTACAGACTGACCTTGACATCAGCGGGACAGTCCCCTTGGGGAGTGTGATAGAAGGACACCTGCTGGACAGCCACCATTAAAGCATTTTTCTGAGTAGCTTGGCATGCAAGGGTCACTTGCAAATTTTCCACTCCTGAATGGGACAGGAGCTAAAGGAAGAAAACATAAAAGGTATTAGGAATTTCCCTCATAAAGAAAGAGGTGAAGTTGAGGGTGGAGATCACGACTTACTCAACGTGTAAATATATGGATCAAATTGCAGGATATCCTGAGATCCTTGCTCCTCAGCCACAAGTCCCAATCTGCTTTCTCCCTAAGCAGCATTTCATGCCATGAAGGCAGCCTCCAGGCCTGATTTGCTCCTGGTAGCTGGGCGCCATCAGGTTTCCCCAATGGTCAGGAAAGGATGACTAGGCTCTGACAAACTAGCAAACAGGTGCTCAGAGGTAGGCTCTTGTTAAAACTACCAAAATTACTAATTATTAATATATAAAAATCACAGAAATACAGACCTACACACACACATATAGAAGCAAAGAAATCCACTTGAGTGGCAGGAAAAAATAGCATCCGATTAAAAAAGATCAGATGAAAGTGCATATCTTCAATAACAAGTGCATATCTTAAAGACTTCGTCCAAAGTTGGTAAGATGGTTCACTACATGCACCTCTTTTTAACATCAAACAGAAGTTACTGCAAGTGGTGTTACACATCAAACAAGGCAAGGCCATCATCATTAATGAAGTTGGAAGCTTTTCTTACATATGGGGGTCAAACTAATACGAATTAAATATTATGCTTTTTTTTTAAGGAATAAATGAAAAAATTGCTCAATTTTAGTTTCTTTAAAAAAAATCAAATAATTTACCTTAAGAATGGCTTCCTTTGTATAAAAACTAAATCTGCCAACTTGGTTATCATCCACCTCAGAGATGGCTAAGACAAGAGTCGCAGGAGAATATCTGTAAGAAGAAACACAACGCTGTTTTGATGTGCTGTGCCATTAGCCAGGAGATGCCCGTTCTGATGGGACAGAGTGACATGTGATCAGCTCTGAGACACTGGTAGTAACAGCAAGTACAGATTTTATACAAGGCTTAGCATTTCCACCCAAAGACTGATGGGGTGCAGGGCCTTTTCAGGCCTTATTGGACTTCATCTTCTTGCAGTTTGTTGTTGTGTGACCATCTACACCCCAGAGCATCTGAAATATTTTCTCTTGGTCACCATTCCACTGCTCTCTCCTGTTTTCCCTCTTACCTTCTTGATGTCACCTACACAGGCCCATCATTGACTCGGCCCCCTTTGTTCGCTTCCTAAATGCTGTCAGCTCTCACTCTCTCCCATGGCTCCAACAATCATCTAAATGTTCTTTGCAGCCATGTTTCTGCCTCAGGACACCATCCTTCATCCATAACTAGGAGACTCTGTCAAGTAATTTAATATCTGTGAATCTTGGTTTCATCTGTAAATGAAGTATCACCTCTCTGGTAGGGTTCTGGCAAATATTAAGTGAGACAATATGCATGAATGTGCTTTTCAAAATATGTCATTATGCTCATGTTTGGTATATGTTGCTGGAACATCACTCCAAAGTGATAACTTGAAGAAATTAGCATACATAAAACAAATGCAAATTCAATGCACAAGGTCCTTGGATGTATAACCTTCTCCTGGAAATTCAGAAAACTCCTCAGATCTTAGAAAAGGGAACCCTCCTACACTGCTGGTGGGAATGCAGTTTGGTGAAGCCACTGTGGAAAACAGTATGGAGATTCCTCAAAAGACCAGGAATAGACTTACCGTATGACCCAGGAATCCCACTCCTGGGCATATATCCAGAAGGAACCCTACTTAAAAAAGACACCTGCACCCCAATGTTCATAGCAGCACTATTTACAATAGCCAAGACATGGAAACAGCCT